ATGCTGCTGATACTTCCTGTATAATGACTGCAGAATAACAATACTGTTCCTACATGCTGCTGATATATCCTGTATAATGACTGCAGAATAACAATACTGTTCCTACATACTGCTGATATATCCTATATAATGACTGCTGAATAACAATACTGTTCCTACATGCTGCTGATATATCCTGTATAATGACTGCTGAATAACTATACTGTTCCTACATGCTGCTGATATTTCCTGTATAATGACTGCAGAATAACTTTACTGTTCCTACATGCTGCTGATATATCCTGAATAATGACTGCAGAATAACAATACTGTTTCTACATGCTGCTGATATATCATGTATAATGACCGCTAAATAACTATACTGTTCCTACATGCTGCTGATATATCCTGTATAATGACCGCTGAATAACTATACTGTTCCTACATGCTTCCTGTACATGCTGCAGAATAACTATACTGTTCCTACATGCCTGATATATATAATGACTGCAGAATAACTATACTGTTTCTACATGCTGCTGATATATATGTATATGACCGCTAAATAACTATACTGACATGCAGAATATCCTGTATATACTGAATAAAACTATAACTGTTCCTACATGCTGCTGATATATCCTGTATAATGACTGCTGAATAACTATACTGTTCCTATATGCTGCTGGTATGTCCTGAATAATGACTGCAGAATAACTATACTGTTCCTACATGCTGCTGATATATCCTGTATAATGATGACTGTTCCTACATACTGCTGATATACCATGTATAATGACTGCCTAACATGCTACATGATGCTGATATATCCTATATAATGACTGCAGAATAACAAACTGTTTTTTCTACATGCTGCTGATATACTGTTCCTGAATAACATACAGGCTGCTGATATATCCTGTATAATGACTGCAGAATAACTATACTGTTCCTATATGCTGCTTATATATCCTGTATAATGACTGCAGAATAACTATACTGTTCCTACATGCTGCTGATATATCCTGTATAATGACTGCAGAATGATTATACTGTTCCTTCATGCTGCTGATATATTATTTTTAATGACTGCAGAATGACTATACTGTTCCTACATGCTGCTGCTGCTGATATATCCTTTATAATGACTGCTGAATAACTATACTATTCCTATATGCTGCTCATATATCCTGTTTAATGACTGCTGAATGATAAAACTATTTACAGAGTACAGGAGTGCCCTGCCGGGTTTTTGCTTTCAGCAAACGCAATGGGGCAATGTGTTGGCCGAGACAGAATAAGCTTACAATATATTTACAGTGTTCTAAAGAAGAATTGTAGGTGTGTTCAGCCTAATTACTGTTGAGGTTTCTAGTCTGTAATAAAAATCAACATGATGAGGAAATACTTTAACTGGAGACTCAATAAGCTTCATGTCACAGTAGCGATGATGTTAATGTGCTTGCCTGTCGACAAAGTGGAGTGAGATCAAACCCAAATAGTTGGCTGCTGAGGATGAGGATACAGTGCTTATGGAAATATCCTATGATTTCAGTTCTTAGCTCAACACCCAGCACTCTAGCGCAAAGGTAAGACAGATTTGTCAGCACACTAGAATGGCTGTCTAGGAGAGAGTCATCCTGAAAGAAACTAAATCACAAAGAGAACTGACTGCCCACATCAAAAGAAGAAATCTAATTTCTTTGGTCAAGTCACAAAAAGGAGAAAACTTAAAGAAAAAGAGGTAAAGGGAGATCAAAAGAGAAGATGCTGGACAGTCTGACATCATGGCATAGAGAATCTGTGTCAGAGTTGATTAAAAGTATACAAGACAGAAAGTTGTAGATAAACATGACTAACAACAATACACAAAATGGTCTATGGAAGATCACATGTGTCAGAACTTATTAAAAGTATACACCAACAATACACAAAATGGTCTATGGAAGATCACTTGTGTCAGAACTTATTAAAAGTATACAAGACAGAAGGTTGTGGATAAACATGACTAACAACAATACACAAAATGGTCTATGGAAGATCACATGTGTCAGAACTTATTAAAAGTATACACAGAATGTGAATAACAATGCTAACAAAATGGTCTATGGAAGATCACATGTGTCAGAACTTATTAAAAGTATTCAAGACAGAAAGATGTGGATAAACATGACTAACAACACTACACAAAATGGTCTTTGGAAGATCACATGTGTCAGAAATGACTGGTGTCACCAACTGGAAAGAGAGGGCCAACCAGAGAGATGAATGCAGGCGGGTGAAATCTGCAGCAATGAACCTCAAGAGAACTGATTAAATGAAAGTATACAAGACAGAAGGTTGTTAATAGACATGACTACCAACACCACACAGCATGATCTATGGAAGATCATCTGCATGAGAACTGATTGAATGAAAGTATACAAAACAGAAGGTTGTGGATAAACATAATTACCAACACCACACAGCATGGTCTATGGAAGATCATTTGCGTGAGAACTGTCTGAATAAAAGTATACAAGACAGAATGTTGTGGAATGACATGAAGCAGACAGAGATATGAAGTAGTTAAATAGTAGTAGTTACCTGTACGTTATGGCCTAGACTATGTTTCGTCTGGGGAAAAAATGAAATATCTGGGCAACCACTAGTATCAACAGTTATAAGACAGAGAAGATGGCTGGGCAACCACTAGTGTCAACAGTTATAAGACAGAGAAGATGGCTGGGCAGCCACTAGTATCAACAGTTATAAGACAGAGAAGATGGCTGGGCAGCCACTAGTATCAACAGTTATAAGACAGAGAATGGGCTGGGCAGCCACTAGTATCAACAGTTAGAAGACTCCAAAGATGGCTGGGCAGCCACTAGTATCAACAGTGATAAGACAGAGAAGATGGCTGGGCTGGGCAGCCACTAGTATGCAACATTATAAGACAGCAAGATGGCTGGGCAGCCACTAGTATCAACAGTTGCCAGACAGAGAAGATGGTTGTAGCCACTAGTATCAACAGTTATAAGACAGAGAAGATGGTGTGGCAGCCACTAGTATCAACCCTATAAGACAGAGAAGAGGCTGGGCAGCCACTAGTATTAACAGTTATAAGACAGAGAAGATGGCTGGGCAGCCACTAGTACTTAACAGTTTAAGACAGAGAAGATGGCTGGGCAGCCACTATATCAACAGTTATAAGACAGAGAAGATAGCTGGGCACTCAGTAGTGAGTTATCCAGACAATCTGATGCCTGGGCATTCACTAGTATCAACAGTTATAAGACAGAGAAGATGGCTGGGCAGTATGCTCACTACCCGTGACATTGCAAGTGAAGCTTGCCACTCTGCTTGAAGCAATCATGTCTACACCTTTTTTTTTCAGCATGCTTTCAGAGTCTGTTACAATTACGACATGCATTTCTTGTTTCCTAGCCATCAGCAAGCTGCAGTGACCACCTCCATTCTCATGCTAGATGTTATGGTATCATAAACTAGGCTGTCCTGCACAAACGATTTTCCATTGGCTTTCGATAAGAAACCCCCGGCACTTCTCTTCCCTCTCTAAACAGAACAATCTGTGTAGATAATCAGAACATCAGGACGAGAACTGTCGTGAATCAACTGTTGGGGAACATAAATGAGAGAAGCCAAGGATGCTGTACTGTATTCCAACCACGATTTTAAAGTGATTGCACAGGATAGACTGGAATAGAGAAAAAGACTGCGAGCCCTATGTGACATAAAATGGCATGAAAGAACTATTAATGAAGGAATGTTTTGTCCCTGACTAATGTGTGAAGTTTCACTAACAAAATAATCATGTAGTTAAGTTGTAAAAACACTCAAAGGTGATATTTCCCTACTCAAATTATCCTGAATCGGCTCTGTGGCTAAGTCAAAGCAAACGTTTCGTAATGCAGGGATGCCGGGTTCGATCCCAGACGCGGGCCATGCGCCTTGCGTTGGTTTCAACAGTGGTCTCAAGAAAGCCGACCGTCCAGAAAGCAACCGCAAACTACTGGATGTAAATTTGCCTAGGAAAACCACACAACAGCCAGGGGCTGTTAGGGTTGGTTCTGCAAAGTCCTGTAAAGGATATGCAACTAACCTAATTATCCTAAAATTGCCACCTCTGAACTGTCATAAACTGTCAGTATCAAAACTGCTACAAAACAAGCTAGAAGTGACATTTATGTGTCTTGCTCTAAAATATGAACTCTGCATAAACTATTACCCAAAAAAAAGTGAAATGTGTTTTGATCAACTGCTAAAACTGTCAGAAATTTAAGTGGTGAGAAGTTAAATATAAATTGCGGAGAATGTTAGGTTGCAACAGATGGAACTTGATGTTTTCCACTGTAAGGTTTAAGCAGTGAGAAAGCATCACATAACATGTGATATTTACATATTGACATTTTTGACACTTAGTAGAAGGAAACTAAATTACTTTTTTATACAATGTGGGTATGTGTAATCATATGATTCGTGAATTTTTTTAAAAACCTATTTTGAATCAGATGTGTGCTCGAGATGTCATGTGAATTAACTCTGTAAATCCTAGCAAACAGCTATATTAACCCACTGTAGTTATTACTGTTAAGCTGCCTGACAACCAAATCCACTCAATATTAGACAAAGTTGAAAAAAAAAAATCTGGTAATTCCTTTATGACAAGCTGGCAAGTTATCACTTTTTTCATACTATCGTACAGTTATACTAGCCATCCAGGTAACTAAAATTCAAAGACTCACACTTAGTACTTCTACCCCACATCCTTCGTTAAATACTAATTAACAATTAATTGGTATACCTACTGCCTTAAATTAACATACAGAATTTCGCGAAGCCGATCCCAGTACACATATGAAGCTACCATATCGTGTACCAGAATCAAGACTGACAACTTTTCTCTTTATGTATCCTTTTTGTCCCCGAAAAAACGTATAACCAGCCACACAAATTCTGCAAAGACCATGACCTCTCACACTTCTGGACCTATGACCTTTTGCTTTTGACCTTTTACTCACCAGGGTGACAAATAAATGGTAGCAAATGAAATAAATGGCCACAAACGGAGCCACCTTCTCCCCAGTTTCGGACATGGTAACATGCATAACTTCAATCCACCCTTTCTGGGTTAGGATTTGAAACATGGACATGAAGGCCTGCAAAAAGGGGAGATAAGTGGAAAATTGTTACATCAGAAAAAAAACATGACAATTGGTGCAAAAACTTGTTGGTAGAAATCAGAGCTCCTGGCTGGTTGAGACAGTTTTTAAAATAAAATTACAGACATTAGGTGAATCCGGCATTCCTAGATATGAGTTATGAAATAATATGTGACATAGTAGGCTATCAAAACTAAGTGACAAATGACAGAGAACAGTGTACATATAAAAAACAGTCACAGGTTAAGGGCTTATGTCACATTTATATCATGATTATCTGAAGAAACAAAGACTCGGAGACAGAAAATATACCAAGCTGCAAACATTTTTTTTTTTAACATGAACATTTTTGGTGTGGAATATTCAATAAGTAAAACGAATACTCAATTAAAAGATATACACAGAATAGTTACATGGGACGTAGAAAATGCAGCAGATACAGTGCATACAGGAGTTAACATAAAAGAGATTCTGTGTATAAGTTCATGTGTACAATTAAATAAAAAGAATGTAATTTGATGAACTAAATCTTCTGAATATTTTGTTGCTATCTATGATGTCAACGTGACCACATCAGCCAGTCAGGGTTGACTGCTATATTCTTCTTCTTGTGCGTTTGCCCTTAATGTCTCAACAGGTCAAATGTCAGCATATCCTAATTAGTTGTCTGTTACAATGCTTGTTGGGGGAGGGGGGGGGGGGGGGGGGGGGGGGGGGGGCAGTAAATCTATTCTTTTGTTTTTGCTACGAAATGTTGCCCCAGAGCCCATACGGGAATGATTGGTATATAATTATACAGCGAATGAAACATTGGCTTAAAAAGGACCCTTTCACTATTTTCATCCTGCAAAAGCAGTCACCTATATACATCTGGCTTCTAAGAAAATATTTAATATCCAGGATGTCTCACAATACGGTAAAATTTCAAACGTGAATACATTACGCATAACGAAGGCAGTTTATTCTTTTGAGAGATCAAGAAACTGCATAATGAAATTTGGAACTGAACAGAAATTGCATGGTTCATAAACATTTTTTGAATGGACCCAGATCATATGAACAGAAATCACCGGCCATATATGCATTCTTTTCCTTCGTACATAAATTACAGACACACCTCACAGGGACTCTACAGGATGTGTACAGAAATCACACACCTCATATTCAAATGTAAAGGCTATAAGTCAGCTGAAAAGAAATATACAACTGAATTACTTATTTACGTGGTCTACCATTTCTGCTCCTCAGGCTCAGACCTATGCAAAGTATGTTCATGAGTTTGTGCTTGTAATTTTTTCAGACATTCCTTTTTATACATGGTATGAAAGATTAGTATGAATAAAAGAAATCTGGTAAGCAATAGATGTTTGATAAGTGGAATAGGCCTCAACGTATACATCCACATTACCCACTTAAGATGATCAAAAAAGTAACAATTTTGTATCCAACAGATCTCTCTTATTAAACATTAAACATAAATATATAAACATAAATACACCTGTGAATTTTGGTATATTTTCCATCTAAACCTGTTGGTTTCTTGGAATGTGAATGAAAAAAATTAAGAATTTGGAGCCGGCGGAAATGTGGTTTCTGTGATGCATGCTGCAGATACCGTTGACAGACAGTGTGACTAGCAACGACTGGCTGATGAAATAATAAAACTATTTACAACTATATGAAAGAGGTAGTCAGTGTACTTTGGTCATGTGATGAGAAGAGAGGCATTAGAGAACACTGATGGCTGGAAAGATCAACGGTAGAAGAGGCAGTCAAAGAGTGGTGATGTTTGATGATCTAAAGCGATCGTATGGTGGAATATTTTCAGTGGAATTTATTCAAAATCGCAGGGACCAAGATTTGTAGAGAGACGTGAGCGCTTACGTCCCTGAGCGGGGCCCTGAAAAGGAACGACAGTCTCCACTTATGCATACTTAGGGTTAGAGTCATTTGCAGGAATGCTGACAGGTCAAGGAATTCATTGTGAAGGCAAAGTCACGAAGTAAGAACACCGCTTGCAAACAAGGCACAGTGATAGTGACAACAGAATAAAAGTAACACATATTGGAATTGATGACACAATAAATGATGAAAACACTAAACCCAACCAACACATAACAGGCCTTGAACAAAGCAGCTTTAGTCTCCTAGATTTACTGTCAAATAAACACTGGTTAATCCTAGCTCCCTAGACTAGAGAACCTTCCCGAGGACTAATTAGGAATTCCCTACCAAATCTCACAGCCGAGGAGATGGGGTGAAAAAGTTGAAAAGAAAAAAAAACATTAATAGCCACAGTGTCTGCTAAGAAAAAACTAGAAAATACATCTCATCCTAGTGGCCATACACCAGGAAACAAACATGGCAGACTAGCTAAGTACAAGTAACTTCGGAAGAGTTTTTGAACATGCCCTTCTCTACCATACAAAGATGAAGTAAGAGAATCGGATTAACCTAATAACTCTGTCAGTACCAGGCAGACGTTCCTGAACACTTTCTACCCCAAAGTTTACTAGTGTGAACATCTTTTAGTTGTGCAGTGAAAAATAGGGATTTTTTTCTGGTGGTGTGCAACGGTGTACAGTGCCTGCACCTTTTTAAGGCAATTTTGTTCAGAACTACTGTAAGTACCAGCACCTTTTTATTTTAGACACTTTGTGTTGAGGACAGGCACCTAGGAAAAAATCCATGAGTGAAAGTAATGCAAATGTGTTAAAGTAACAGTTATGTTATAATGCATCAATATAACAGAAGAACGAGTCGGAAGAAGTCAAGAAATGTTTGATAACTAAAACCCAAAAGTAATTTGATTGGTAGTGAAAGTATTGAAAGAATAACAGCTATTGAAATGAAACAGAAAAGTGTGTAGAACTCTCAAGGTGTAGCAAGACAGAGAAAGATATTACAGCAAGCCATTATGGAAGAGATGTGTACTTTACTGCATACTGGATACCACAGAGTTATAAAAATGTACATAAAAGTCATAGAACAACACTTCATGCCTCCTTGAGATTATCTTGTTCTAGAAATAATAAGATAAACGGTTAAGCCTCTAATGGGTCAGAAGGACTGTATTGATATCTGCTCAATTATTATATTTTTTTTAAAAACAAAGTGAAACAAAAGTAAGGCTGGAAATTAGAATAAAGCTGAAAGAAAGAGAGAAAGTAATCTCTGATTTGACTCAGTAAAAGAGTTTCTACTTCATGACCAAGGATGAAAGTACTCTCTGCTATGATCCATCAAGGAAGAGCCTACTTGATGATTGATGACCAAGGGAGAAAGTAACTAATCTGCATTATGATAAAGCAAGAAAGTTTCGTGAGGCCTTAGAGATGTAGTTTTACAGAAGAATGATTAAAATATCTTGGAAAGCCAAAAAGAGCAACCAAGAGGTTTTGAAAGAGTCGGCAGCCCAAAGACAACTTATCAAAGACATCAGAAGGAGACAGTCATCATTTTTCGGCCATGTTATGAGAAGAGGGAAAATGGAACATGTTGTAACCACTGGAAAGATCTATGGAAGGAGGGACAGAGGAAGACAACGAGAGAAGATTCTTGACAGTCTTGTTGCATGGCATGGAGGTGTGTCTGAAACATGCTGCAGGAGATCAAAGATTGTGGAGAGGCATGATCGCCCATGCCAGTTGGCAAGGCACCTGATGATGATGAAGAAAGTCTGAACTACATGATCACGGGAGAAAGTAATCTATAATGTGATTCTTTAAACAAGTCTCCAGTAAACGACCTACTGTTGGCACCTCCTCCCCCTACCCAGACAACAGTGATATACTGCTCTCTAGGGAGGCATGGGAAAACAGTTCATAGTGATGGCAAGTGTGACTAGCAAAACCAGACTGTGTTGAGAAAAAATGTTCACAGGCCCAAGGTAAAAAACAATCACGTGTATGATCGATCTATTATGAAAGTCTCTAATACAGGATCAACAGGGACAGTAATCTGGCATGTGATAAGGCCGGAAAGTCTCCAATACATGATTCAGAAATGTAGGGCAAGCCTCTAGTGACCTCAGTACCGCAGCTCCTAAATCTTTCTTTGGCTTTGAATAATGCTGAAAACTTCCTAGACAGGAAAAATCTTCAACAACACTTAGTTAGTTAGCTGTGTGCTAAATCTGATAGAAACACACCGGTGTTCTCTGACAGTTTTGTAGGAAAATGTAGTCAAATACGTAAATGATCCTTTCATTGAAACACTGAGCATATGGCATCAGACCCATAGGTTAACAGACTAATTAACACTTGCTGGGTGATGTGGTCAACATCGTGCTGACCGTGTTTACTTCCTAGGACATTTCCTCATATACATTCTAGGCTTGGTCGACCTAGGAACATCTCAATGCATTCTAAAACTTAAGGCCTTTGGGACACACATCATAAGTGTCCAGCCACTGCGTTGTGACTTCTAAATATTGCTGAAACCTTCCTATATAGGAACAGACTTAACAACACTTCAAACCCTATTACAAGCTTATCCCAGATCTGCACACTTCAGTTCTTTGGTAACTATTTATAAGAGTATCAATTATTCTAAATGTGACATTAAAAAATGCAAAGTATGTTGTCAGAACTGTCAACGTGAACAGACATTTAGTATGACAGTTATCAATGGCTGAAGACTGCCTCTCTAGCCACAAGGTGTGCTGTCTCTTACCACTATGATCTGACCATGCATTTAGTAGATGAAAGAAGCCCATTACTCAAATGCCAAGACCTGTAATTATTGAGATAACATGCAAGCATGTTAAGATGTGTACATTAGCAAGTTCAGAGAACAGCTATTTTAGATATTTATTTTATTAACCTGGTAACTAGCCAGTGAAATACATTTTCTGAAACTATGTGTAAACTGTACAAAGTTCTTCATTCATTTTTGAATTAATTACTTGATAATCAAAGTTTAAAAAAAAACTAAGAATAATAGACTGGAAAATATTTACATTCTAAATTCTACCAAACTATACATATGATGCATAAATAAGATCATGTGTACACCTGATTGTTATCTGAACCTGCCGTTGCACACAGACAAGCCAAACATTGGATAAGGCGGAGAAGACAGTGATTCAAGGTGCCCACAGGAAGTGCCAGGTGTACTCACCACATTAACAAATAAATGGAAGATGATAAAATAAACGGCCACGAGTATTTGAATACTCGTGTCTGAGAGACTGTTCATAAGATCATTGGGAACATCAATCCAGCCCTCTGAACACATGATTTGGAACATGGACTTAAATGCCTGCAGCAAAGAGTCACAAAGATCACAAACAGACACGACCTGAATTGGTTTTTACATTTCCTTTAATGAGAGACACCAACAGAAACATGAAAAGTACCTCTAGTGAAAAACAAATTAGACCTAGAAAACCTGAGAGAAAAGTTTTTCTCTGCCTGAGCTTAAACTGATCTCATTACAGTCTCATTCAGTCATACAGTCTCATTCAGTCATACAGTCTCATTCAGTCATACAGTCTCATTCAGTCATACAGTCTCATTTAGGTATAGTTATATTTTAATACATAGGTACAAAAACTGGAAGAATAATTTTCTTCTTTTTGTTCTCCCTACTAGTGGTTTTCAGATGACAAAGCTACGGGCCTCTATGAAGACTGTGGTGCAATACGTCTTCCACCGATCCAAACAGCTTGGTTTTCAATGGAATGCTAACTGGTAGGATATGGAATCTTTTTACTGCATGTAGAAAGCGTGTCTGCAGCACATACTGAATACTGGAAGAATGAGACTCCTTATATTTCAGAATCTCTGAACACAAACTGGTGTCACATTTCAGTATAGTCATATTTGAATATGTAAGAACAACTTGAAGTAAAAATATCCAGAAACCCCTACAGTAAATGCTGGGATTAGCTTGTAAAACTCAGAAAAGTATATGCAACTATCTGAAATGCAACAAGTGAAAGAGTCAGACTGTTTATCTTGCTAAAAACCTATAGTAATTGTTTATCTGTGTCCCCGAGCATAAAACGGTGTCACAGTTGTACACAGTAATGATTTAATATATAGATTTTCACTCAACAAGCTTCAAATACACAGATCCTACACAACCAGATTTTATGTTTATGAACAAAGAGATATATTTTTTACAAACTGAGAAAAATACAAGCACAACACGTTAAAGAAGAACCCTGAATGACAGAAAGACCAGCAACAGGTTAAATGAAATGATTTCAATTAAAATTACAGAAAAAATATGTTTGCACAATTTTTACATCCATTCTGGCATGCGGTCACTTTCTGAAAAGTTATTTTATCATTCTGTTTCTGTCATATATGTGCTGTGCTACGTACCACTGGCATGTCAAGCGTATGGTATTACATTTATACTTCGATAGACCAATCGGCAGTGGGAGGGTGATATGGCCAACATCATGCTAGGTGGCTTTCAGGACACTTTCTTATACCCATCTTAGACAGGCTTAGTTAGGAGCAATACTGGTTCATTATTTCTTCACACTGCAGTCAACTGAAACCTTAGACCTTGTAGCTTTTGGGCAATAGTCTAGCCACTGCACTACTGCAATGTTAGTAGTGTTTTTAAAGGACATCTTTGTGAATCTGGTCTAAACACTAGGTGTTGCATCTCTGATCTAGTCTAAATGTTAGGTGTTAAATCTCTCATCTGTCCAAACATTAAGTGATGCATCTCTTATCTGGCCCAAACATTAAGCGCTGAATCTCTCAACTGCCCAAATGTTAAACGTTGCATCTCTCATCTGGTCCAAACATTAAGTGTTGCATCTCTCATCTGGTCCAAACATTAAGTGATGCATCTCTGCTCTGGTCCAAACACTAATTGTCTAAACATCTGTTTAAACATTAAGTGTTGCATCTCCCATCTGGTCTAAACATTAGGTGCTGCATCTTGCATCTGGTCCAAACATTAAATGTTGCGTCTCTCATCTGGCCTAAACACTTGATGTTGCGTTTCTTATCTGGTCCAAACATTAAGCGCTGAATCTCTCAACTGCCCAAACATTAAGCGTTGCATCTCTCATCTGGTCCAAACATTAAGTGTTGCATCTCTCATCTGGTCCAAACATTAAGTGTTGCATCTCTGCTCTGGTCCAAACACTAGGTGTCTAAACATCTGTTTAAACATTAAGTGTTGCATCTCCCATCTGGTCTAAACATTAGCTGCTGCATCTTGCATCTGGTCCAAACATTAAATGTTGCGTCTCTCATCTGGCCTAAACACTTGATGTTGCGTTTCTTATCTGGTCCAAACATTAAGTGTTGCATCTCTCATATGGTCCAAACATCAAGTGTTGTATCGTATATCAGCTCCAAACATTAAGTGATGTATCGTACATCTGCTCTAAATATTAAGTGTTGTATGTCTCCTCAGGCCTCAAAATAATGTGTTCACCCACACTTTATTATACAATGACAGCTCAGCTAGCACATTTTTGGCTAACAAAGATATTCCTTGCTCTTGTTTGGCATTGACTAATTAAACTGTATTTGGCTAATGAATGTTTTAGTGGATGCATGCGCAAGCACAGCGCAGTGTGGTTGTAAATGTAATTTCACAGGAAAATCCCAGCAAAAATCATGTTTCGGCTAACGACAATTCCGGGTAACCAACTTGATTTGAGAACAAATTATCTTCATAAGCCGAGTATGACTGTATTGTGAATATCTTCTGTTACATGTGTACTCAACCTATTATTGTGTCTAGCTGTTGTTAAAGAGCGCTATAGAACGACAATTACTAAACACACAGCAAATGTCAGACACAGAAGGCCTGACTGACTGACTGACTTTCTACCCCACCAGGACATCACACAAGCGACAAACACCCGATGACACAAAGTGTCACCATGCGGATGAGGATCGCCGTGGAGAGTTCCCAGAAACCGCGTTCAGACATTTAGCCATATTTATGGCCTGCCTATATTGCGGCCCCCGGCAAAAACCAGGGTGGAGTTCAAATAACAAATTTCATCCTGAAAAGGACGATAGAGAATACAGAAGGCCTGACACAAACAGCTGCTGTCATAGAATAATGAAGAGAATAAGATATCACTAGAGCAAAAACGAATGCTGAACTCCAACTCATTCTTTCTAAAATGTCAAATGCAGGGTTTGTCCATGCCGAGCAGAAATTTCCAAAGAGATTATTTTGTATTTTTTCAGCAGAAAGTACTTTTTCTAAAATCTCTAACAGTGGTGTGATTTGACTTCATTTCACAGGGGGAAATAATCTGCAGGGGCAACTAACCTGATATATCCAAGGGGATTAACCTTGCTATTTCCAAAGAAGAATTAACCTGCTATTTCTAAGAGGGAAATAATTTGCTTTCATCTCTATGGCTGGAATAGTTTGTCCATTGAAGTAATTTGTTTTAATTTCAAAAGTTGAAGTAATCTTTTTTTTTTTTTTTTTAAACCAAAGATAAAGTGATATTTTTTTTTTTTTTAAATATTTTTTTTAACATTAAATTAAATAACTTTGAAGGTTGAAGTAATTATTTTCTTTTCAAAGTCAGATTTTTGGCACTTCAATGAAATATCTAATTTCGTCCTTTTTAGGACGAAATTTTTTGTCATTTGAAGCCCTACTCTGGCTTTTGCCAGGGGCCACAATATAGGCAGGCCATATATATGGCCAAATGTCTGAACGCGGTTTCTGGGACCTCTCCACAGCGATCCTCATCCACATGGTGGCACTTTGTGTCATCGGGTGTTTATCGCTTGTGTGATGTCCTGGTGGGGTAGAAATTCAGTTCAGTTCAGTTCAAGTCAGATTTATAAGTATCTCCTTGTGGGACAAAATTTTTCATTATTCTGAAGCTCTACCCTGGTTGTTGCTGGGGGTGCCAGTATAACCATTTAAGGTTGAATGTGGTTTTTGGGACCTCTCAACTGGTGATCCTCATTGGAATGATGGCACTTTGTGTCACTGAGTGTTTATCATTGTATGATGCCCAGGTGGAGTAAAATGTACTTACTTACTTCCAAAGTTGAATTGAAGTAACTTTTTCTCTTTTCCATGAAAGAATTAATCTACTATTTTCAAGTGTGACATCATATGCTAACACTTATCAGGGGAAGTAATTTACCATTATTTATAAAACACTTTTATTTCATCCTCACTAACTCCTACCTAGTTCAGACTTCAGGTTACCATGTTTAACCCATTTAAGGCTACGTGGTTGAACAGGGCTCGCTAGATCTGTAGCTGTGTGATTTTCATCCTCAAGGTGGTAATCTTGCAGACTGCAACTTTGAAGGGGACAAAACTACCTAACTACCAAAACACTTTGCTGAATATAACATGGAAATGACTGTTGCTAAAATAGAGACAAAGCAGTTGCTTTAACAAAGAACAGAGAAGGAAAATAAAGAGTTGAGTTAACAAATGATTAAAATCCTGAGTCAGATAACACTGATAAGATGACACTAGACTGGACTATGAGAATGACAACTGTGTCATCTCACTCTTCTACTTCCACAAAGGAAAGGAATCACCCATGTTAATCATACTCCTTACCTACACAGTGCAGACTGCTGGTTCCTTGCCTCTCAGGCAGATGCACTCTGACTTCGAAGGAAACGCCCCTAATTAGTTGCCTTTTATGACATGCTAGTTAGAGAGGCAATGGGTCTGTTACCCATATCCCCACAATGGGTCTTGGAACCCTTCACCCAGAGGAGAAAACCGACAGAGACAGATCACCCTCCCCCCCTCCCCTTAACCATCATAGATTCTAAAATAAATGCTAGCCTGCAGATACAAAGGTCGTGGGTTCAAATCTGCATAGAGCCAGATTTGTTTTCAAACAAAACTGTGGCTTTCAGGATAACCCAGACCCAAATGGGTACCAGACAAAGTCCTAGGTAGTAAAGATGGCTGGTGTAATGTTGAACACATCATCCATCGATTGCCGATTGGTCTATAAAAGTGCAAGTCTAGCCTCATATAACATATGCACCTCTGGCGTGTAAAGAAACCTTTATTTTTGATTGGATTTTACGCCAGTATAACTGTAAAGTGGGACTACTATGATTTGCTCTTGTTGGATTCCATGTAAATAGTAACTCATTTGAGTCACTGGGTGGTAATCTTACACACTGCAATCTCAGGAGCGGAACAATTTTAAGGAAAAGAGGAGCCCAGCGCGCTAACTAAATTGGTTAAACCAGCTGCGTGGTGACCGGGTGACAAACTCCTTGTGGTTCAAGTTCACGCTCAGGGGTAGGCAGAAAAGCGACATATTTCCTGGAAACAGTATCTATCATGAAATCAAGGCCGAAGAGTTGCAATATCCATGGTATCCAGCCAAAGGCTTACAATTCCTGGTTTCTAGATTTAAAAAAAAAAAAAGGGGGGGGGGGGGGGGAGGGGGGATGGGTGGAGAAGCCAGACATAAACCCAAAGAGAGCATGTTTAAAAGCATCCCTACCCGCATAGGACATCTGTCTGGTGTTACATGTGCCCTAATTATCCTTTCTTTGTAGGTTGAACGGGGTATCTGGCATCTACTTTGGTGGTCTGCCATCTAGACTGAGATGTTTAAATCTCAGGATGGTATGGTAAACCTTTAGGTGGCAGAACGGAGGAGGCAAACTGATTGACTGATTGATATTAGAAAGTTAACCATCATAGTATGGAAGAACATATGTGTCAAAAATGATGAAATGACACACTTGATTTCTCTTGCCAAATCACATGGACTATAACAAGAAGAAACTGCTTTTTAAAAAAAAAAAAAGGTTTGATACTTTAAGCATGCAACATTCTAACGTGTATTCACGTAAGCGTACTTAAGCTAATGTTAGTTAACTAATTAGGTTGCAAATAATGTAAGTACTAAGAAAAGCAATTCAATTTATACAACAGAGAGAAACTAAGCAGAAAGGCTCTCAGACAGACAGACAGACAGACAGACAGACAGACGGACGGACGGACGGACGGATGGACGGACAGACAGACAGACAGACAGACAAGTATTTATATATATATAAATGATTTATAAAATAATTAATAATTCTGAGAAGAAATGTTTTTTTTTGGTCAATAATATGCCTGGTGATGTTTCGCTCTGATGGATAAATCTGATTCAATGAGAGGCTAGAGCTTATAAAAAAAGAGAAACAACTTATGAAACACTGAGATGCATAAAAAGCTATTTGTTTTCTGCTGACAATTTATAAACAAAAACACTTTTAAACTATTCCAGCATCATACACACACAAAAGACAGAAGACATTTCTGAGCTTGGAATTATGAAGTTAAATACACAGAAAAAGAACTGAAAGAAGGGTCAAAAATGTTAAAATATCTGGTCAAAAGCACATCTGTTCATGTGAAATGGCACCTGAGACAAAGAGATCATATCCTCCACGACTGTAATAAATACAACATATCAAAGCAAAACTTCTGGCCAAGGGAAAAAAAATTGGTTTAAGCCAAACTTGACGGGTCGCTGACTGAATTACAAAAGACAGTGAAGTTCACACTAGAGACAATGATGCAGAATTAGATAAATCTATTTCGGGCGAACGAAAGAACAAAAAATAAAAGAAAGAAGACAACGATTAATTCAGTCAGCGATAACAAGATTAAAACAACAATATTATTAAATACAGAGACACACAAATGTGTTTCTAACAATCATATTTAGAAATGTGCACAAACATTAGATGATGAGAAATAAACCATGTATCTGACCTGATCAAATGTCTCAAATTTATCGAAGTCCTCTATGAAACAAAACAGCTGCAGACTGATGCTGGAGGCGATGATCAGCAAGCACATGGTAAACAGAATCAGGCTGCCTAACTTTTTGGGAGGGCCAAAAATCTGTGTGGAGAAAAATATAGTTATTTAACTTCTCCAGTCCAAGGCAGTTGTTTCTTCTGCACTTTTTGTCTGGCCAGTTTTACACACAAAAGTAACATGTCTAACTAGTTTTACACACAAGAATAACGTGTCTAACCAATTTTATTCACAAGAGTAACAGGCTTGGCCAGTTTTACACACAAGAATAACATGTCTGGCCAGTTCTAACCACAACAGTAACATGACTATCAAGTTTTACACACAAGAGTAACATGTCTGGCCAGTTTTACACACAAGAGTAACACATCTGGCCAGTTTTACACACAACAGTAACATGTCTGGCCAGTTTTACACACAACAGTAACATGACTATCTAGTTTTACACACAACAGTAACATGTCTAACCAGTTTTACACACAAGAGTAACATGTCTAACCAGTTTTACAAACAAGAATAACATGTCTAGCTAGTTTTACACACAAGAGTAACATGTTTGACAAGTTTTATACACAAGAGTAAAATGTCTGGCCAGTTTTACATACACGAGTAACATGTTTGGCCAGTTTTACACACAACAGTAACATGTCTGGCCAGTTTTACACATAAGAGTGACATGTCTAACCAGTTTAACACACAAGAGTAACATGTCTGGTCTGTTTTACACACAAGAGTAAAATTTCTAGCCAGTTTTACACACAATAGTAAAATGTCTAGCCAGTTTTACACACAACAGTAACATGTCTGGCCTGTTTTACACACAAGAGTAACACGTCTGGCCAGTTTTACACACAACAGTAACATGTCTGGCCAGTTTTACACACAACAGTAACATGTCTGGCCTGTTTTACACACAAGAGTAACACATCTGGCCAGTTTTACACACAACAGTAACATGTCTGGCCTGTTTTACACACAAGAGTAACATGAGTGGCCAGTTTTACACACAAGAGTAACACGTCTGGCCAGTTTTACACACAACAGTAACATGTCTGGCCTGTTTTACACACAAGAGTAACACGTCTGGCCAGTTTTACACACAACAGTAACACGTCTGGCCAGTTTTACACACAACAGTAACATGTCTGGCCAGTTTTACACACAACAGTAACATGTCTGGCCAGTTTTACACACAAGAGTAACATGTCTGGCCAGTTTTACACACAACAGTAACATGTCTAACCAGTTTTACACAAAACAGTAACATGAGTGGCCAGGTTTATACACGAGAGTAACATGTCTAACCAGTTTTACACACAAGAGTAACATGTCTGGCCAGTTTTATACATATAGAGAAACAATCCTCATGATGTCTAGAGTTAATATAATTATGAGATAGAAGAAGATGTAGTTGCTTCTTTAACACTTTCTGTTTGTCTAGTTTTACACACAGAGAAACAATCTTCAAGTTTTCTGAAGTTAAAGTATGGAATTCAAAATACAAGACAGAAGAATTTACTGTCACTTTTTTTTTTTTTATGGTTCACATTCTGCTTTGTGCCTTTTATGTTCTCACTAAATGGCCAAACCATTTCACTCTTTGTATTTCAATTAATTTAATTATAGGTGTTATTTTGATAGTTCTTGTATTTTATTATTGGAATAACTATGACAGAAACGATGAATTAAACAAAGTGTGTTAAATTAAAACTGAGAAACTTAAAACAGGTCTACAGAAGGCTTGGGTGGAGGTGGGAGGGGGGAATGAGGGAGAACAGAAAGAGGATGAGAAAGAATAGGGAGCAGAAGAGGAGGAAGAGGAGGGGATGATTATAGATCTATAAAAGTTTCACCTTGAAACAGAATCCCTCCAACATGGGCGATGCTTTGATCAACCTGAACAGCCTCATTACCTGTAAGATCAAACATGAAATGTTTCAATCTGTTAATTTACATATAAAAATGTTTTCTTGAGTACTTGTAGCATTTTAGAATTATTGAATAGGTGAAGTTGCATTCTTACAAAAATGTACATGAAAACAATTGCCCTCGCTGCACATGTTACAATTTTGTTAAGATAATGAGGTGCAAATAAAAAGGGATGGTGCGTGAAATGGGGGGGGGGTGTCTTAAGTCTAAGGAATTATAGTTAATTGGCTACTGCAGTCATAACAAACTTTACAGTTGGAATATTATGTTGTTGTTGCTCTCAACAACAAAATATTTATCATCTAACAGGTTTCAAACCCACGTCTCCCAAATGACAGCTCATAATTTAAACCACTGCACGTGTTTGAGTGGAGAAAGAAGTTTTACAATGGCATGACTACTGTGAAGACTGTTCACGTCCAGGTAAAGCAGGCCGAATAGTGACCCCAGAGTCAACTGCAGCCATCGAAGCCTCGTAGAGGAAAACTACCAAATGCTGGACTGTCAGGCAATGCTCACCGTACTGGACCTTCTATAGGCGATTAAAGTTCACCCCTTCAGTGATCAAAGAAATGGATAACAGAACACTGCTCCTCTTTGGTGCATGTCAAAAGTAGGGCAGCAAACTTTATACTATGATTATGATATCACTGTGTTTGATTGCACTGTGATACCATGTCACAAAACACTCTGAAATACTATATGAATTTTTTAAAAACCAAGTCACACATTAAACTAAAACACATTAAGTTAATAAACAAAAATCTCTGCAATGCACTGTACCAAAGTACAAGATAATCTATAATACTATATAAATTACACTGTACTGAGTTTTGAGACAATCTAATATGCTATCTAAAACACATACTCAATCAAAAGACCTCACGCATACCACTTAAAACACACTATACTAAGTCACAAGACATCTAAGACACAATCTAAAACACATGTTCCCAATCACCAGACATCTAGCATATTACATAAAATATACCTGGAAAGATGTCAGTGGTGAGCGGTAGAAGTACGGAATGATGTGCAGTGCTGTTCCAAATACCAGGACGAGCTCAAACACGTGGAGAGATCGTTTCAGATACCCGCGCAGGCCTAGGCACCAGATTTTAAACAGTGCTTCCAGAGAAAACAGGACTGTAAGGACAACCTGGCACCAAGGAGAGGTGGATCATTTATTAGTTAATGGTTAGGAAGAAAGTTTTAATTATAAGTATGTCATACTGCATACCAAATAAAGTGGGAGGTTACAGCAGTATACTGGTCTGACACTTGCCTGTCAGCTTAAAGGTCTTGGGTTCAAACCCATATTTTATTAGTGAACTTGGTTTACAAGTCAACCCATCCTAAACTCATTCCTTGTCCTGTTATGCCACTATATGACATATATGGCTCATAGACTATCCTCCATTTTGTTCTATCTTGTTCAACCAATTCAATATATGGATGGAATCCAGTCCAGCACCTTTGGCCTCTCTCATCATTTGAGGATTTTTGTGGCATCCTCACTCCTCAATCCCTTTATTTCCTATTTCAGAGCCTGTTTGGTGATTCTCTGCTCATTTCTTATCAGGATGTCTCCAATACACTGCCATCTTCTTTGTGGTACCACTGGTAGCAAACAATTATTTATCTGATTTTGTTCCCCCCTTCCCTTCCTCTGGAATTCATAACATTTTATGTTCAAAATTGTTCTCAGGCATTTGTTTTCAGATGCATTTAACTTTGTTCCATGTTTTTAGTGGTTCTCCAATTTTCGCTGGCATATGTTACAAATGAAATAACAAGAATTAAAAATGTGGGGCATAACACTGAATGGTTTTCATTTTAAAATGCCTAGTATTAAATCAAGCCCTAATCATTCTACCTCAAACAGATTCTCTTTCTTCTTCTTTGTCAATATCTGCTTGTGCCGCTTGGTGTTACAGTTTATCAGACAATCGGCAGCTGAGCCAGATATGCTGTGATGTTATGCAGTCTCAAGGTGTCAGTAACTCCTTTAATGCATCTATTTCTTTATCTTTCCCTGCCTCTTTGTGTTCTGATTTTCAAGTTGAATGCTCTTGATGCTGGCATGGTTGGTTTCATTCTCATTAGATGGCCAAACTATTTCATTCTTTGTTTCTCAATAAATTTGACGATGGGTGTTGTTCCTACAGTTCTTGTGATCACGTAATTTCTCACTCGATCTCTTCTGGTTTTATTCACAGCCATTCTCAAACATCTCCTCTCACAGGTGGTAAATTTTCTCTCATGTTCTTTTGTCAATGTCTAAGTCTGACACTGGTAACCTAAAGTCAGTATAAATATTGTATTTAAAATTTGTCTTTCTGTCTCTATTGGAATAGCAGGGTGTTTTAAAATTGGAGCAAGTTGGTACGTGACATTGTTGGCTTGTTGGATTCTCATTTCTATCTCTTTATTTTCTACTGTAGGTAAAGATGCTTCCCATGTATTTAAATTCCTGCTTATGTTTCAGACTTTGATCTTGGATTTTTATGTCGATAGTTTGTTGCTCTCTACTTATTCTCACGACTTGGTTTTTTTTCAGGATTTAATCTTCATGTGATGATTAAGGCAATTGTTTACTTTCATTGTGGAATATGCACTGATCGTCGGCTAAGAGCAGCTCATTGAAGTCCTCCTTTTTATCGACGTCTGGTGGTGCTATGTATATTTTATTAATATTGTCCATGAATATTATAAAAAAATAGAGGTGAAAGAACACACCCTTGTCTTACTCCTGATGTCACTGGGACTGAGAACCAGTCTGTGAGGCCAGCTCTTATTCTGATGGTGCTTTCACTTACTCTATATACAGCTCTTACACAATCTAGAAATGTTCCATTTATACCACAGCTTTCAAGGACATCTCATAGATTTAGGAGATATTTTGCAACTCTAGATGTCATCATGCCTACTCCTTTCATGTATTTTCCATCTTCTCTCTCTGAGTGTATAAGGGTAAGCCCACTACTCCTCTCATGTGCTTTCCATCTTCTCTCCACAAATATATAAGGGTAAGCACACTACTCCTTTCGAGTGTGTTTTCCATTTTCTCTCCCCAAGTATATACGGGTAAGCACACTACTCCTTTCATGTGTTTTCCACCTTCTCTCCCCGAGTGTACAAAGGTAAGCCCTCTACTCCTTTCATGTGTTTTCCATCTTCTCTCCCTGAGTGTTTAAGGCAAAGTCCACTACTTCTTGCATGTGTTTTCCATCTGTTCTCCTTGAGTGTTTAAGGCAAAGTCCACTACTTCTTGCATGTGTTTTCCATCTTCTCCCCCGAGTGTATAAGGGTAAGCCCACTACTCCTTTCATGTGTTTTCCATCTGTTCTCTCTGAGTGTTTAAGGCAAAGTCCACTACTTCTTGCATGTGTTTTCCATCTTCTCCCCCGAGTGTATAAGGGTAAGCCCACTGTTCCTTTCATGTGTTTTCCATCTGTTCACCCTGAGTGTTTAAGGCAAAGTCCACTACTTCTTGCATGTGTTTTCCATCTTCTCTCCCCGAGTGTATAAGGGTAAGCAAACTACTCCTTTCATGTGTTTTCCATCTTCTCTCTCTGAGTGTATAAGGGTAAGCCCACTACTCCTTTTAAGTGTTTTCCATCTTCTCTCTCTGAGTGTATAAGGGTAAGCCCACTACTCATTTCATGTGTTTTCCATCTGTTCTCCCTGAGTGTTTAAGGCAAAGTCCACTACTACTTGCATGTGTTTTCCATCTTCTCTCTCTGAGTGTATAAGGGTAAGCCCACTACTCTTTTCATGTGTTTTCCATCTTCTCTCCGCAAGTGTATAAGGGTAAGCCCACTACTCCTTTTAAGTGTTTTCTATCTTCTCCCCCCGAGTGTATAAGGGTAAGCCCACTACTCCTTTCATGTGTTTTCCATCTTCTCTCTCTGAGTGTATAAGGGTAGGCCCCCTACACCTTTTATGTTTTCCATCTTCTCTCTCAGAGTATGTAAGGGTAAGCCTACTGGTAAAAAAAGAAGAAAAAAAAACCCATTAAAGGTCCCTTTTCCATGCCTTTAGGCCTATAGGGCATATAGGTCTAGACCTATTTTTTTTATAGACCAATCGGTAACTAACCACTAACCACTCTTATCTGCTGCTGGCCACCTCAGCTTCATTCAACCCTAAAACATCTAGTTTGCATCTCTTCTCTACCTGGGCAGATTTTTTTGCCAGTGCAATAGTCCTAACATTCCAAACATCCACTAGTTTTGACCCAAGAGGTGTGCATGTCTGTCCACTGACTTCCACAGAGTAGCTTCAACCCTAACCATCATACATGCATTTTGTGCATCACATCTGACTGATCTGTTTAGTGTAATTGCATCATTTACTGCAAGTTTCTGTAGCATATAATTTTTGTACAGGGTGGTGGAGCTGTCCTTTTATTAATAATAAGTCTTTCCTCTTGGGCCTAGGGTGGTGCATAGGGCAGAGGTGTCTTTCCTCATGGGCCTAGGGTGGTGCATAGGGCAGAGGTGTCTTTCCTCATGGGCCTAGGGTGGTGCATAGGGCAGAGGTGTCTTTCCTCATGGGCCTAGGGTGGTGCATAGGGCAGAGGTGTTTTTCCTCATGGGCCTAGGGTGGTGCATAGGGCAGAGGTGTCTTTCCTCATGGGCCTAGGGTGGTGCATAGGGCAGAGGTGTCTTTCCTCATGGGCCTAGGTGCATAGTGGTGTCTTTCCAGGGTGGTGCATAGGGCAGAGGTGTCTTTCCTCATGGGCCTAGGGTGGTGCATAGGGCAGAGGTGTCTTTCCTCATGGGCCTAGGGTGGTGCATAGGGCAGAGGTGTCTTTCCTCATGGGCCTAGGGTGGTGCATAGGGCAGAGGTGTCTTTCCTCATGGGCCTAGGGTGGTGCATAGGGCAGAGGTGTCTTTCCTCATGGGCAGAGGTGTCTTTCCTATGGGCCCTAGGGTGGTGCATAGGGCAGAGGTGTCTTTCCTCATGAGCCTAGGGTGGTGCATAGGGCAGAGGTGTCTTTCCTCATGGGCCTAGGGTGGTGTATAGGGCAGAGGTGTCTTTCCTCTTGGGCCTAGGGTGGTGCATAGGGCAGAGGTGTCTTTCCTCTTGGGCCTAGGGTGGTGTATAGGGCAGAGGTGTCTTTCCTCTTGGGCGTAGGGTGGAGCATAAGGCAGAGGTGTCTTTCCTCTTGGGCCTAGGGTGGTGTATAGGGCAGAGGTGTCTTTCCTCTTGGGCCTAGGGTGGCGCATAGGGCAGAGGTCGTTCGCTGCCACTTGCTTTAGGTCTTGGATGTTTATGTTGGAGCCTTCGCTGATGATGGTTCTAAGTAGAGCCTCTCTTTGAAGGCTATCAGGAAATGTCTGGCATGATGCTGATCACTGAGCACATTATTGCCGATTGGTCCATAAAAATACAGGTCCAGCCCCTTCATTTAAACTTTTACTACTTGAACTGGCTTCAAAAATGGGCCAGATCAAACCTTACCAAACAACCAGGAAGGTTAACTCAGTCCACAAATGCCCCCAGAAGACAGTCGTGTTGGCTGAAAGGTGCAAATATCGCAGACATGCTGAAAACGGACACAACGCAATTACATCTTTGGATGAACGCAGAAGAAGAAGAAACCTTACCAAACTCGGCGGCGATAGCGTTATTTGCATTTTAATTTTGCTATCTCCACAACGGAGGTTGGCTACAGTGTATCCACTGTTGTTTTTAGAAGAATGAGTTAACAATCAACATTCCAACACTCTGGACATTCCCCTACCACAGTGGTTCTCAACCTTCCTAATGCCACGACCCTTTAATAAAGTTCCTCATGTTGTGGTGACCCCCAAACATAAAATTATTGTAGCTGCTACTTCATAATTTCAGTGAATATGTATTTTTCGAGGTCTTAGGTTATCCCTGTGAAAGGGTCACTCGACCCCCTGTCTGAGAACCACTGCCCTACACGCTTCATCCTTTTGTTCAGTAGCCAGCAGTGCTCCAGTGCTGATAACATCAGTAGCAGTTGGATTATATGCCCGTTTTGTCTATCCTCATGGTGTAGTGTTTGCCAGATCCTCTTGTTATACCCAGCTGAAAATATTACCTGGTGAAGCCTCAGTCTTCAAAGAAACTGACTCATGAAGCGAACCTTTTGCCTACAGCAGAAAGAGACAATATACATTTTTTGTGGGCATGTGATGAGAAGGAGAAAACTGAAGTACATCGTGACAGTAGGAAAGTTGGAGGAAAGGAGAGGCAGTGGGAGACTGAGAGAACAGATGCTGGACAGTTTGACATCATGGCCTGGACGACCATCTGTGTCAAAGTTGACTGAAAGTACAAGAGACAGAAGGTTGTGGATTGACATGACTACCAACACCGCACAGCATGGACTTAAAGAAGAAGAAGCCTCAGTCTCTTCCACAGTGTGACTCTCGAACTACTTTCTGAAAACCAGGAGAATGGTTTTTCTAAACCATCTGTCATGAAAATTAAACCATACACGTAAATATAATAATGCTTTCATAGCAGACACCGCTGTTTGTTTATAAAGTATTAGGCCTTCATACATTCTTTATTCTTCTTCACTTCAACTTTTTACCGCTTCAGGTGTTGTGGGAGATATAAGATATTTCTGCTTTCTGCTCTTCTGGCCGCCTCAACCACAGAAAATTTGTACTGTTCTAGAGTGTCTCTGTGATATTTCCATCTTGTTCTTGGTCTACCTCATCCTCTTCATCCCCCTACTCTTTTGATGTATGCCTCATATGGTACAACGTCACAAGGCATTCTTTCTAAATGGGCAAATCATTTTTTCTTTGCTGCTTTTGAATGTAATTAGTTCTGATTCTGTGCTGAATTTTTCTCTGATGACCTCATTCCTGATTCTCTCTCTCTTCTGGTTACTCCTGCAGCCTCTCTCAGATATCTCATTTCTGTGGTTATTTTCTTTTCTAGTTTTCACACATTCTAGGCCATTACATATGAAGTGGATGACCAGTTCTCTACCTCATACTCTCTCTTCCCAGAAATTTCTAGCAATAAGTAACTATTTTTACTAGGCTGTCTTCCCTGTGTGGTTTCCAGAGCCCTATTTTGGGAGCAAAGACGAGTCATTGCCTCCACCTCCAACAAGCATGTCTTAAAAGGCAACTATTCAAAGGTTTGTTGAAATCAGATTAACTGGGTCAAAAGTTGTAGATATCGCAGCTTAGTTGTAAACCATAACACAGCCACATATTTAAGGGTTAAGGCAGTAGAAGATTTGACTGGTTGGATCTCACAACCGTATAGCTGGAACAAAATTCTGGTACCTTCTGGTAAACCGAACCCCTGTATTATCATACAAGCAAGACAGCATCTAATTTCTCCAGTCATTTTACGGCTTTTGTGCGACATACCTCAGCATAATAAAAGCCATCAAGCTTGTCCTCTGGTTTCTTGGTGTAGTGGTCGAACCTGAGGCTTGCCGCTGTGATGGCATCCACCAACACCATTATCAGTATGAACGTGTGGAAAAAGTTTGACCGCAGAACACGCTGAAAGATTGGAGGAGCTAAGCCATTGGTTTTGTTTTCATCCACCATTACTAGACGCCAGGCTCCCCCATCATTCTGAATAACCTGGAAACAGTTACACATAAAGAAAGTGAGTTATTCTTTTTTTTTTCTTCTTTCGTTCGCATGAAATAAATTGTCTATATCTGCAAAGCTGTCTCTAGTATGAATTTCACTGTCTTTTGTAATTCACTAAGCGGCCCGTAAAGTTTGACTTCCACAAGTGTCTCTTTTGGCCAAAGGTTTTGCCTGAAAGCGTTGAATCTGGGACAGTCTTGAAGGATGTGATCTGTTGTTTCAGGTGCCAGTCCACAAGTACACATGGCTGATTGGCCAATCTTAAATTTGTTGTACATGTGGGAGCGAAGTCGATTGTGCCCTGTTCTAAGGCGAAAGTGAGTTATTTAACCTTTCTGTTGCACACAGATGGTGCTTAAATTCTCTATGCCAAAGTTAACCACTTACGGTAGCATGATTTGACCTAAAAGCCTCTGTGTGGGTTTCAGAACCCAATTTTAAGGGGTGTGGGGGAAGGGAGAGAAGAATAGACCTACTGCAACCAAACAAGCATGTCATAAAAGGGGATTAACTAAGAGTTTTTCTTTCTTTTTTTTTTTTGCCTTTAAAATTGGAGTGCATCTGCCTGAGATGCAAGGAGCCAAGAGTCTGCACAAAAATAAACCAGATCTGTAAAACAGATGTACACTCAAAACTCAAGCCCTGAAAAAGACGAAAGTCCAGAAGTGGACGGACAACCAAGACTCACCACCAGAGTAAACATAAAGAAGAAGAAAATGTACATAAAAAAGTGCTAATGATAATGTTATGAATAAAAACAGCAAAAGTAATCGAATAAAGTAAAATATGTAGTGATGCACAGTTTCAGGTCTTATGTCAGCTGCCTTATGCATATACTTTACATTTGCAAGCTTGAAAATTGTGCTATTACTGACAAGTTTTTCACTAGTTTTTGGAATGAGACACTGAAACACATCTTGCGTGATTTTCACTGAAATAGGAACAGATCAATTGTGGAATGACTTATCTGTAGTCTTCTTCATCATCTTCTTCTTCTTCACATTCACCGGCTGTAAACAAAGGCAGAAAGTTTTTGTTGTTCGTCCACTTCGGGACTCTAGCCCTTTTCCAGAACCTGAGTGTTGAGTGCGCATCCATGTGATCAATCTTGACTCATTTGACCAGAAAACATGCAGCTGCTTTTGATGTCTTTGTTGGTGGGCACTGCCTGCAGATCAAGGGGCAAAGATAAATTTCCCAACAGCGATACTAAGCAATGTCCTCTAAAAATAACCCGGCAGGCTAACATAATTCTATTGCAAACGCCAAACAATGCCATTATGTCCAAAACATTTTTAACATACATATCGTGGATGAATAAAGAAAGAGGAACAGAACTGTAGACAATGTTCTGTACACACACAAAATTGGGACAATGTGCTATAGAAAAAGAAGCATAAATAAATGTAAAGATGAAAGAATCTTATCAGATCCAACCCAAGGTCTCCCAGAAGATAAGGTAGGACAACCTACTTGACTGGCATCTGATTCAGCTTTGCCGCCCCGTGACCCCCACATCTGCTGGAACTGAACTCTGATCTCCGCAAATGTTTCAATGATGACAGCAATGAACACATTCTGGAAGGAAGCAAATTGATGTGAGTCAGCAACACTGAAGAGCAGAAATGTGTTTAATGTAAGTATATTAGACACGTATAAGAGGTTCTGAGGTTCACCAGCTGTAAACTCTGGAGGAAGGTTATGGCTGTTTGTCCATTTCTGGACTTTGGCCTTGTTTAAGAACTTGAGTTTTGCATGCATATCCATTTTACAGATCTAGCATACTTGAATGCAGACTGTTGGTTTCTCACCTCTCAGGCAGATGTACCTTTAACTTTGAAGAAAACTCCCATGATTAATCACCTTGTACAACATGCTTGAGGCAGCTTTCCCCCAAGAAAGGGTCTCCAGAATCCTCAAAGGAAGGCTGTTTTTAAACAGTGCCCTCCTCTTATTCTGTTTCTTCTTCTTTTTTTTTTCCTCTTCTTCTTCCTTCTCCTACTCCTCCATCTCTTCTTCTTCATCATCTTCTTCTTTTTCTTTTCTTCTTCCTGCCTGTTTTAGGGCAGACATCTACAATTAAAACTCTCCAGTCCTTTCTGTCATCTGCTATTTCAAAATCAACCTCCGACTGGCTGATCAAATTTAAACAAATCGACAATGACATCTAAATACATACAAAAGTTGCATACATTACTGTGTTACTTGTCCATATAGTCACCACCTAAATCTTGCAATGAAGCATGAGTTTTTTAACCCTTCATCAAGGAATGGCACCACCGGTGTACTTAGCCAGGTGTTAACTCCATCCATAAACTCCTTAGTGATGTCAAAGTGCTAGGTAGCCAACCAGCTGAAGAGATGACCGCTTGGTGCCAATGAAAATGTCCTACTTAAAACTGCTTAAGTGAAGCTTTTGGGCAAGCTTCAGTGTGGGTCTGTGTGTTGCTGTGCAGGATAATGATGCCACTGGTGAGCATTCTGCACATTTTGTTTATGGATCGACTGATGAAGCTTCTTCTGGTTTCCTAATAAACTTCTGATGTTACTGTGGTCTCTAGTTTCATTAATTCCATCAATAAACTGCCCTTGCGGTCCCAAAACACTGTAACCATCATTTTTTTTTTGGGCGAAAATATTTGCTTAAATTTTTTTTTGGGGTGCAGAATGAGTATGCACCCACTGGTTGGAAAAGCAATAACAGTGTCCATGTTTTTTCATTCGCAATTCGTAAACCATTGAACAAATCAGGCTGTAGTTTGATGTTAATGTGTAGTGAGCTAAAAGACTACTGAATGATGCAAGCAATGAATGGTGTGGCTATGGCCAACGGTTCATTTTCACCACCCATTCGGAAGTTGATTTTTTAATAGCCCTTATATTTTGCAAGGAACTAAGGAAAAAAACTAGGGTTTTTAACTTGAATGCTACAGAAAATTTTTTCTTAGAATGCCATATTTCATGAACACAACTGCTGACATGATACAAGATGTGACAGCGCAAAACAGTTTCTCATGTGGGATATAGGGCTCCATTTTGGAGAATAAACAATAGACCCATTGCCTTTCAAGCATATCATAGTAGACAACTAATTAGAGGGATTTCCTTCAAAGCTGTTGCTTCTTCCTAAAAGGCAAGAAACCAAAAGTCTGCACCCCCCCCCCCCCCCCCACCCCCCCAAAAAGCCAGGTCTGCAAAACAGATGTGCACGCAAAACTCAAGTTTTGATTCAAGACCAAAATCCAGGTCTGGACGAACAACAAGAACTTTAAGAGTTTACAGCCAGTAAACACTAAGAAGAAACAACGTGACTCATAAAAGTATTCTGTTTTGCAAACATAAATACTATTATGGTTGTAGTGGTTCAAAAAGAAAAAATAATAATATAAAATGTTGTTCCTCGAAGAAGAAGCAGCAGTTGACCATCAAGAAGATGGACCAGGGCCGAATTTATATTTGATAAAGCCCTAAGCTATATAAAGTCTCGAGGCCCCTAATGTTTTGAAAATATATTTGCCCTTTAAAACACACTGATGATGAAAATATACGGTTGTTTCATTTTTGTAAAAGATAAACAAAGAATGTGTCCACAAAATCACATAAATTATATTATTTAATTCCTTTAAAGGCTCTGTCAAAAGAAAACTGCATTTGTGAACAAACCCACACACACACACACACACACACACAACTAAAGAAACTGATGAGGCCCCTGCTGATTCTGAGACCCTATGATGTAGCTTATGCCTAAATCCAGCACTAAAAAGGGCCTAAAATATTGGAGACACTTGCCCATGTGTGTTTCGGGATCCCACTGTGGGGAAAACAAGAACAGCTCCACTGCTTCCACAACAAGCATGTCGTAGGAGTTGACCTAATTGGGGGCTTCCTTTGACGTCAGAGGGCATCTGCCTGAGAGGCAAGGAATAAACAATCTGCATACAAGTGAAATCACTGTCAAATGGATGTGCACGCAACACTCAAGTCTGGAACAAGAGGTGGATGAATAACCAGAACTTTCCGCCGGAGTTTACAGCCGGTGAACACAAACAAGAAGAAGAAGTTTGGACACACTGAGTATTTAAATACAGAGAATGTGGGAATTTATAATGATCCAGGTGCAGCCTTTATGTGAGTGATACTTGGTAAATAAACTGGTACAATATGATGATGGTGTTGCTCATATTATTTGTTGCCTAATTGTTCCAGTTTTCCATAGACAGTCAAACCTTGTTAACATGAAATCCAAAGGACTTAAAAATCAAGAGTTTGTGCTGAAAAGAATGTGTCTGGGGACTAACAGATATGTCACGACACTCATTTCTGCAGTTTCTAATGTTCTGTTATAGCTTGTTTTTGAGCGACCGTGTCTGGCAATGGTAGCATTGAGTGGGAATGAAAATGCTCTGTATGAGGCGTTTCTTGGGCTGATCTGGACTGTTTTATGCTGTACGGAAGGGAGTGGGGGAGCTTAGGTGTCCCAATACTAGAAAAAGTAGTCAATAAATGTTTTGCTGAAACGGTTAAAATAAGGTGTGTTTACAGGTCAAGGCAGCAAAAGGCTGCAGTGACTGCCTCCATCTCCAAAGGACAAAGTCTAAACCCAAACCTTTAACCTATTACCGAAACATAAAGAATTTTTACACAGGATCCAAAAAAATAAAAGCTGGGCACCAAAACCAAGATCCTGTAATGGCAAGTACATGATTGTAATGCATACTAAATGTATACCTACCTTGACCAACCAGGCCAGAAAGAAGATGAGGGAGATGAAGTAGAGATAAGCCTTCCAAGATTGTAGACTGTCAATGGCATTATACATCAGAAAGACCCAGCCTTCTTGGGATGCAGCCTGGTAGACTGTAAACACACTGGTCGCTGAAACACAAATGCTTTATTACAGAATTCATTTTCTACAGCTACTGTGGGCCAGGACATTTTCTATCCCTAAGAATTAATTGCTCCTGACAGTTTTTGGCTTGTTAACTTATTCTGTGTTAGTTTATAAATTTGATAATGATCTGGCCAAAAGGTTTGATTCTCCAATTCACATATCTCGATTCTTCTCCTTCTTCATTCATACAATATTTTTCTCTTTGGACATTTTACTTTATCTGATGTTTCTTTGTTCAATCAATAGTTTTTCTTTTTGGACATATTACTTTATTTGATGTTATCTTTCTATCTTGCTGTATAATAAATGTAAGTTCATTTAGCAAGAAGAAAGTAAACAAGTCTATTACAGACAACATTACATCCAATAAAGTGGATCGACTTTAAAAGAATGCAGTAACATGTGACAAAGTGAACATCATAAGCTAGAAGTAGAATATAATGACTTCCAGGTTAGGTAAGTGCATTAGTGATGTTTTCCTCTGAATAGAAGAGGAAAGAAGAAGACACAAGCCTCAAATATAGATAGGTGAAACTGAATAAAGCTGACTGGCTTTACAAGAACACAATAACGAGTGACAAAATGAAGCTAGTATAAGAATATAATGGCTTCTGGAGTACATCATTAAATTACTACCTGTGATGCTTACCTCGAAAAAGAAGAAGAAAGAAGAGAAAATATGCCCTGTCCCAATATTATACAACTTACGTAGATGGTCAAAGCCAATGAAGCCCATGACCTCTGGGCTCATGGTCAACTCCATGCAGATCATGCCGTTCTGGCAGTGATAGCCTGAGTCTGGGTCATCATCGGGTGAACAAAACGTATCTGGGACAGCCAGGTCAAACAGGGTCACATTACTGTAAATAATTATGGAGAAAAGAATTTAAATCTTCAGTGTAGTATACTAAATCATGCAAACATATATTTGATATTAACTCTTTTTCTCTGTGTGGGTTCCGGGACCTCATTGTGGGGAACTAGAACAGACCCACTGCCTACCCAAAAGCATGTCATAAGAGTTGACTAACTAGGAGCTTACTTTGAAGTCAGAGAACATCTGAATGAGAGGCAAGGAACCAACAGTCTGCATGCAGATTTTAATGGGATCTTCCTCCACCGTGACATAATCTTTTCAATCCATTTTAGTGGTGTCTTTCTCCACTACAGTGGTACAGCTCAACATAATCTTTTTAATCCATTTTAGTGGTGTCTTTCTCCACTACAGTGGTACAGCTCAACATAATCTTTTCAATCCATTTTAATGGTGTCTTCGTTGATCATGATTGTATAGCTCAACATACTTTTCAGTCCATTTTAATGGTGTCTTCCTCAATTATGATGGTATAGCTCAACATAATCTTTTCAATCCATTTTAATGGTGTCTTCCTCAATCATGATGGTATAGCTCAACATAATCTTTTCAATCCATTTTAATGGTGTCTTCCTCAATCATGATGGTATAGCTCAACATAATCTTTTCAATCCATTTTAATGGTGTCTTCCTCAATCATGATGGTATAGCTCAACATAATCTTTTCAATCCATTTTAATGGTGTCTTCCTTGATCATGATTGTATAGCTCAACATAATCTTTTCATTTTAATCCATCATTGATTTATCATAGCTCAACATAATCTTTTCAATCCATTTTAATGGTGTCTTCCTTGATCATGATTGTATAGCTCAACATAATCTTTTCAATCCATTTTAATGGTGTCTTCCTTGATCATGATTGTATAGCTCAACATAATCTTTTCAATCCATTTTAATGGTGTCTTCCTCCATCATGATGGTATAGCTCAACATAATCTTTTCAATCCAATTGTATAGCTCAACATAATCTTCTCAATTCATTTTAATGGTGTCTTCCTCCATCATGATGGTATAGCTCAACATAATCTTTTCAATCCATTTTAGTGGTGTCTACCTCCACTATGGTTGCATCGTTGAACAATATCTTTTCAGTCCATCCTTTGACATTATTTTTTTTTTTGTGTGTGGTGATTATCCAAACTTTCCTTCTCACTAGGTTTTAAGCATTATAATATCTGTGTCAAACATGGATCTCATCTGGTCATTCTTTTTATTTTTATAAGTTTGTTTATAAATTTTTATTGCTCACTTTATTCTCTTTTTTCATTATCACTTTCTCCAGGCTCCTGATCTGAAGCATTGCTTTTTAATTCTTACAGCTGTTTGATACTCTTAATGAAGTTGGCATTGTTTATATTATTATTTGTTGCCAAGCAGTTTTAAACTTCTACGTGATATTTATCAGAATGTTTTATATATAGCCACCTCAAAGGCATTCAGTTATTGTGCAATAAATGAAGTCACTTCGAATCTGCAAAGCTTACAAAAATTCACTTCTGCTGATAGAGCTGAAGGCCTATGTACATGTCTATGAAGGCCTATCTACATGTCTATGAAGGCCTATGTACTTGTCATAACTTCAATTTTTTACCATTCAATTAACAACCAGCGTAAAGAAACACAAAACCAAACAGAAAATAAAATGTCAATGTAAACATAAATCAGCTTAACTAAAGAGTGAACACAGACTTACTCTGGCTGAGTTCCAGGCCTGACACACCTGTGCTTCAATTTCCCAAAGAACTGCACTCCCAGGAAGCCATACAGTGACATAAAAAACAGGAAGAAGATGGTGACATTGTAAATTTGCTGACTTGACCGCCTGTGGATAGCAATAGTAGTAGTGATAACCAATTTTTGGCTTCTAAGTGGCAAAATTTACTCTAAAAAAAGTAACAGTAGAAGGTTGTAGCCTTGTCTTGTTTTGCGAAAAATAAAACTCTCACACTCCACCAAAATCCCCGAAGGGGGAGCTTTTGGTTATAATTGCGACTTAGGTTATTTGCACCACATAAAATGGCTTAACTCTGCTTGCCACCAAGAAGCTCTGAAGAGGACTCTTGCAGTGTTGATGCAGTCAAAGCAGATAGACCTAAATACTGTCCCGACCAACGACAAAGTCGTCTACTGGACAGCCAATGGGCGACCCGGTCACCGATGTTGATTAAACTGTAGAAGCAGTAGCAAGAGAAGTAGTAGCAGTCATAATAGCAGTAGTAACATCAATACTAGTAATAGCAGTAGTAACATCAATACTAGTAATAGCAGTAGTAACATCAATACTAGTAATAGCAGTAGTAACATCAATACTAGTAATAGCAGTAGTAACATCAATACTAGTAATAGCAGTAGCTGTGATTGTATCAGAGGTATCCTGCTAAAGCCCTACTGGCTTATAGTTATGATACATAGTTTTTGTCTTTTCCGACCGTCAACAACAATATTTATACAGGGTAACAATATAACAAAGCAAACCCCAAAAAATAATTCAGGCTACTTTAAATATACCTATAGATAGATAATACAGTCTAATTTTCACCATTATGTAAAAAGTTCACTCGTAATCTATTATACTGAACACTTGTAATATATTATAATTAACACTTGTAATCTGTTATGTCGGCGTCTGTGGCTTGGGCGTTGCGAAAGCGCTTCGTAATGTCGGGGTGCCGGGTTCGATCCTTGCTGCGGACGGTTTGTCTTGCGATGGTTTCGACCGTGGTACCGAGAGCCGACCGTCCAGAAAGTAATGGCAAACTACTGGACATAAATTTGCCTAGAAAAACCACAACAGCCAGAAAGTGCTGGGGTTGGTTGTGCAACATCCTGTAAAGGATATGCAACTAATAAAAAATAAATCTATTATACTTAACACTTGTAATCTATTATAATTAACACTTGTAATCTGTATTAGTTAACTCTTACAATTTACTCAGCATTAACCCTTTCACCCTGGAACACTAAAAAAAGATCATGAACCCACTAGAATTCCTGAAATACCAAGATACACTCCTTTAAACTTACACGCACAAGAATTCAGTTTACACTAGTCTGGTGTAGCTAAGAAAGGTGCACCAATAATAACTTCTCTGGAGGTTGAATAGAGAATACTAGATTTGCTCTGTTGGCTTGACTTCCAGACTGAGATTTTGTAATCAGAGAGCAGTCCTACCTTAGGGTAGCAGCCCAAAGGGGTCAAAACAGATGGAAAGAACAAGCAGACAGAAACATTTACAAATTGTTCATACAATTCTGTTTAACAATCAGTAGTATATTCAGTGTACACAGTGACAAAATGTTTATTTAATTTGAGTCAGTCTAATAAACAACAAACAACATCACTGTAAAATCATCCTCATCATCAAGTGCCTTGCAAGCTGACGTAGGCGTATCCTGGCCTTTGGTGTTCTGGATCAATTTCACTGATGATATTCCTCCAGACCACTGTCTTAAGCCATCCACCATCATTTCTCTTGGTCTGCCTCTGTTTCTTCTACCAGTGATCTTTCCAGTCATCACGATATTTTTCAGTGCTCCTTTTCTCATCACATGACCAAAGAACTTTGTCTCCTTTTCATTGTTGAATACAATGTTCTACCTTCATTAGCCATTTCTAGGCAATCATTGTTGGTTATTCTGATAGTCCAAGGTATTCACAACAAGCTTCTTAAAAACCACATCTCAGTTGCTTCTAAACTCCTCTTAATTTGTTTGTTCACATTTCAAGATTCACTGCCATACAACAGAACAGGCTTGATGTAACATTTCAGTACTCGTTTTCTGATGTTTAATGAGAGTGATTTATTACTGTCATATCACTCGTTCCAAATAAGTTAAACATGCAAATTACTTGAATATAGAGTTGATTCGATTCTTGGGGAGCTGGAACTTCAGAAAATTCCTAAAAACCCGCACAAGAATTAGTGGTCTTGGGGGAGCGAATAATTCTCAGCACAGCTGCAGCAGAGGCTACCCTGGGGTCCGCTGACATTTCATAGATCTGGAAAATATGTTAAGACCATGTAAATATGGAGACAGTTTAATTTCTAACTAAAAACTTAGACGCCTGCATTTGTTATTGGATAGTGTTTTTCCATGTGGGTTCTGGGACTCAATACCAGCGAACAAAGAACAGACCTACAGCCCCTCCACCAAATCAAGCATGTCATGGGAGGTGACTAATTATGGGTTTCCTTCAAAATTGCAGAGCATTTGACTGAGAGACAAGTAACCAACAGTCTGCACACAAATAAGCTGTGTGCCTTATAAGTGCTGAACTGCATTTCTGGTGCCAGACAGTCGGTGATAGTCCTTCTGATGGCTGCCATACAAATTAAATGTTACTGCCTTTGCTAAGGCGGCAGTCTGTATCAGGTTTTTTTTCACAAGGACAGTAAAGGACATTCTGTGTGGTTTTTGTCCTAACCAACGCCAGAGTTTTTCTTTCCCCTCTTGGTCCACTGGAACTTGTTTAGTTTTCTCCGAAAGCTCTACATTAGTGATTCCAGTTTTTAGTGGTACCAGTTAATGAATGTTTGTAGTTTATTAGTAATTGCCTTAGAATTAGATAATTACCTGACAATGTTTCTTAAACACTTTTCACGCTGCCAGAGTTGCATCCTTTGTATCTCTTCCCATACACACACAAACACACATTCTAGCTTAATAATACTGTCTACTCCTTCTTCTTCCTCAGCATTCTGAGCCCTTGAGGTTCACTGCCGCACCTCCATTCATCTCTGTCGTTAGCTGTTTCTTTCCAGATAGTGGCTCCAAGTGTTTGTAGTCTGCCTTTATATTATCCCTCCATGGTATGGTCTTCTTAGTCTGCTGTGTGATCTACTCTCATATTAAGTCTGCTGCAACTTTAAATCCTCCTCCTCTCTCTGAACCTTCCCAGCTTCCCCCACAGGAAGTACTACCCACTAATTTCAACACATAAATAAAGAACCTGTTATAAAACTTGCTTACAACAAACAAACAAAAAATTAATACCTGTAAAATTACCGAACCCCACAAGCAGAGAACCATCACTCCATCAAACTGACACCATCTGTCTCTCAGGTAGGATGCTTCAGCCTAGCATACAAAAATTGTAACAAATGTTACTCTTTCAGTACCAGACAGGCATTACTTTAACTAGTTACATCCTAATAAATTACTTTAACTAAATGATTATCTGAAGAATTTAAAATATTGATTTAAAAGACAAGGAATTAAAGCTGTCCAAACTGTGTTGTGATACAAAGTGTATCAGCTGCAGTGTGAAGATGTGTCACATGAAGGTGTGTCCGTAACTAATACAAGGTCTTGGTAGTAAACTGGATTACTATAGGGCTTCCAGTGTAAAATGGGGAATAACTAGCAGACCACTGACTGAAAAGTTATTTGTTTCTAGCCAGGGTCTGCAGATGCAAAATCTGTTTCTGGACTAGGAGTTCCATCACTCAGCTAATGAGCTAAGCACACGGTGCGACACTGTGAGCTGTGGATTTCAGGTGGAATGTTTTTTTTTCTAATGTGCCCTCCATGACTTGTGCCGTGAACTGCTTTAAAAATAGCAGGTGGTTGATGGCCTCTGGAATGGTGAATACTTATGATCTGTTGCATGGACATTAGACTTTCATAGATGACTGCTTGCATCAACAACAATTGCAATTATGTTAGTAATGTTACATTTAACAGCTGCCTTATGCATTAACTTTGTGTGTGCGAGCTTCAAGATTTTGCTGGGACTGAAATATTTTTCATTAGTCTCTAAATGGGATAGTGAAGGATATTTTGGATCATTCTGGGCCATTTCAACTGGTACAGGAATGGGACAATCCATCTGCAGTAAAGCTGAAACCTCCACCAACTACAAATGTAACTAATGACTGGATTGTAACATGAAATTATGTTTGTCTAAAAGAGTGTTACCAATAAGAACAGTTTGGAACGCTCTGAGTTAAATTAACAGCAGCATCAGAGAATGCTGGTGCAACAAGTGGTTGGGCGAAAAGAACTAAGTGAAGCAGTGTTTCCCAAACTGTGCACCGCGGCGTTCCGGAGGCCAGGACCTCTTCACAGGTGTCCTGTTAAATATTGTAAACGCTTCATAATTAATGTAACCAAGACATGAATAGTCATAACTTTACTTAGGTAACAAATTTTTTATTTAAAAAAGGTGCCGACCCCAAGAAAAGTTAGGGAAACACTGAAGTAAATTATATCATTCATAGTGAGTTAGTTTGTTGCATATCCTTTACATGATGTTGAAACTCCAACCCCAGCATTTTTCGGCTGCTGTGGTTTTTCTAGGCAAATTTTACATTCAGTAGTTTGCCACTGCTTTCTGAACAGTCACCTTTCGGTACCACTGTCAAAACCAACGCAAGACAAACTGTGCTGCTGGGATTTAACCTGGCACCCCGGCTTTACGAAGCGAGTTCGCAATGTCTAAGCCACAGATGCCGACTTTAGTAAGCATAGCAAGTACTACTTTGTTTCATAGCTGCCGTTTTTTATTGGTGTATGCAATAGTTTAAATGCATGGCAGTGTTTATTATTTAGACATAAAGTGTAGTAAATGTTACACTGTCAAGAGGCAACAATTTGTTTAATTACTGATGTTTGATTATGGATAAACAATTATCAAATAGTATCTAAATATACACACCGAATATTTATAACTGATTCTCTTACAACTGTCAGTTCAAATAATTACATTTTTGTTACACATTCATGTATAATATAGGGTGTGGTAGAATGTTACACACTTGTGGAATTATCAGAATATTGCACACTTGTGGAGTATATTAGCATTTTGTACATTTGTGTACTGTGGTAGTAAATTTCACATTTGTATAGTGTAATAGCATGTTGCACATTTGTGGAGTGTAATAGTATGTTGCATATTTTTGGAGTTAATAGCATGTTGCACATATGTGGTGTAACATTATATAACACACTTGCAGACTGCAGGAATATGTTATATACTTGTAGATAACACATCATGCACAGAAACTATTTAGTGAATGTTTGTAGTTAAAAAGCAAATAAATTCTATTTTAATTAAAACAAATAATAAAAATAAGAAATTATATATATATTATGAATAAGTGAAAAATGATCATATAATACATGAAAAAACATCAATGTCTTTCAAACATATACCTTAAAAGTATACTTCCAATCTTACCTTCCAAACTCCCCGTACATGCATTTTTGCAACAAGTTCTGCCGTAAATAGAATCATGATGAGTAAGTCCAATGTGAAGGTCAAGTACAGCAGAAATGGGTACTTTTCAAACGTTTTCGGTGTGTTCATGCTGACAGAAACAACACTAACAAAGGCACAGACACGTAACAATCGACGGACCTGGGGACAAATGGTAAATCATTTATAGAGGTGTAAGACATCAAGGTGAGATAACAATGAAGTAGGGTGACCATAATATCTTCAGCTGAAAATAGAACATTCCATTACTATTTTGTGCTGAAAATTGGACAGCAAAAGCAAATCAGTTTAACCCCATCCTCTTTTTTTTTCTAGGTCACCTAGGTGAGAGGGTATATTCCTCACTTGTAACAATGGTATTAAAAGCTAAACCACTGTCACCAAGAAATAAACGAAACAATATGCTCTTTAACTGCACTGACAAAACATACTACAATAAAAATTCCCATCAACACATTTCAGTCATTAATAGTATCTAAAACTATGAAATCCAATAAGATCTACAAATATAAATATAAGGGTATGTTTAATTCTTCAGCTAATTCCTAGATTTTTTATAAACCAGGACAGCATGCGTTTTTTGGACTACTGATGGGTGCACACCTAAAAAACAGGAAGGTCCTGGTGAAAACAGGATGTATGGTGACCCTGCAATGAATGACCACTGGCATAGAAAGCATTGTAGGAATTATGTAATGTGGAAGTGGAGTCTTGAGACAGAGATATGCCTTTCTTCTTCTTTAGCATTCTGAGCCCTTGAGGTTCATTGCTGCAGATATCACCTGCCTCCATTCATCTCTATGGTTGGCCTTCTCTTTTCAGTTGGTGACACCAAGCGTTTGCAAGTCTGTCTGAATATTATCTCTCCATTGTCTTCTTGGTCTGCCTCGTGGTCTATGACCATTCATTGCCCTCGTGTGGTCTCAAGATTGCTAAGAAAAATCCCAACTGCACCTCCACATGGTAAAGGATGCTTGTAAACACACTGTGTTTAGTCAATGCAGCTTTGGGAACCAAGTATTACCTATTATAAATTGACACCTCTGGGGTGCCCTCTGCTGTTAGCAAGAGCATCACAGAGCAGGGCACTAACCTCCTGCTCTGGCAATCTAAATGATTGCTAAAGGTTGAAGACAGATTAAAGCCTAATGGATGAGGAAAATAAGGGGAAACTATCACATTACTATTCCAAGAAACATAACATGGAAATGGCATTAAAAGTCAATGACTAAACACCAGCAAGAAAATCAATGTCAAAATTGTGGGAGCATGCTTCTTTCCAGCAGCAACATTTGGATGTGAGTCATGGGCTATCTCGCAATCATCAAGGAAGAAATTAAGGGCTTTTGAACTGAAATGCTATAGAAAGATTCTCAAAATACTATCGACCAAGAAACAAAAATACATCTGAAAATATTTAAACATCAAGAAAGACTAGCTCATAAATTGCCCTGTATACCGGAAACTAAAATATTGTGGCCATACCAAGCATCACAATGGAATAGAAAGAACAAAGTGGGGGGAATGTTATAAGGAAAGAGAGGAAGGGGCTGACTAGCTAAATGGTGAGCACAGGATATAAGAAGCACCTTGGGTGGGAAAGAGCATCAGACAGGACAGCTGGCAAGACAGTTGGCAAGAGACTAAGAGTCTTTCATGTGGGCTGTGATGAAAACGAGGTTTTGTAAAAGACCTACCATATGATGATGTTAATTGGTCATGATAAGTTCCCTTTAAAATTCTCACTAAGTGACCCCATGGGTTAAAATGACTCTAAATAGTAAGACAACATAAAATAACACTACTACAAATGACTTAACCATGAACTATTCACTGTGTTAACAGATGAGTGATGAGTGTACTCAAATTCATTACCACATCTCTCTTTTACTTTCCCCCTTTTCTCTTACACACACACACGCATGCACGCCTGCATGCACGCGCGCACGCACACACACATACACACATACATACATACATACAGGAATACACGCACACATGCATCCAAGTGTACACTCATGCACACATGCATGCACTTGCGCATGAGGATTCACTCACTTCTCATTCTTCAAACGCCACAAGACCCACCTTCTGTTCCAAGTTTTAAAAAACCTGTCTCCCTCTCAAGTTCTCCAACGTTCCACAGACAATTCTTGCTTTTTATCATCTAGCACACTTTTAGCCAACCTGCATACTGGTCTTAAGTTAGTCATCACTTGATGCATACATTATCCTTCATTCTTATTTGATTTGATTTTGATTTGATTCAAGAACCGACATCACAACACTAGGGGCATTCCTATAAGCGAAGAGTTCCGATACTAATGGTGCCAGTAGCATTCTGATTAAACGTCCGTCTTGCCTTTCCTCTGAGCCTTGAGTATCTGCCAGAACATCTCGTCACCCCCAACTGCATCAATCTCACCAGACTGTGGTGATCCATCTGCTCCTCCGAATTGTACATGCTCTCCCACAAGGCACTAACCACCTCTGCCCTATCATGTATCAGTATTCCACCAAGTTGTGCAGAGCCAGCCAGTCTGTCCGCCTGTTCATTTCCTAACACACTGGCGTGAAATGGTGAAAAAATCCAGACATTACTCCTCACTCGTGTCCTCTGCAGTGACGCATGCCACTCTGCACGAAGCATACCTGTTCTGATCTTCCTCAGCATGCTTTCTGAATCAGTTATAATCACGAGGTGTGTGTGTGTCATGTTCTCTAGCCAGCGGAAAGCTGCAGTGACCGGCTCCACCTCCATTCTTAAGATGGATGTTGTGGTATCATATGCTAGGCTCTCCTGCACCAAATGTCAACCATTAACTTTTGCTAAGAAGACTCAAGCACTTATTTTGCCTCTTGACACTGAACCGTCTGTGTAAATGATCAAATCCTCTAAGCGAGCATTATCTTGAATTAATTGCTGAATTTCCACCTCTGTGGCACCTGCTGGCCAGTCTCTGCATTCCCGGCTCAGCATGATTATGACCCTACACAAGTCTGACTGTTCAGGTGGCACTTTGACCCTCTCCTCGCCTAATGTTCTCAAGGATGCAAACCTGTCTGATTGTGTCATCTGCCTGAGCCATCCATGACCTCCCTCTTATCAGCCGCTGACTCTTAACTGCACCCAGAGCTTCATGCAGAGGGTGGTCTGTGTCTGCAGCTATCCTGAGATATGACTCCGCCTGCAGAACCTTGTGCCTACCTGCAACCGTCGGAAAACCAAGGATGTATCGCATACACACCACTGGGGTGTCTCTGGTGCAACCCAGAATGACCCGCATAGCCGCGTTCTGTGTGCGCTCTAGTTTGTCCATCTGACTCTTTGAGACGGTAAGCATTCTCGATACCATTCAACCCAATTCAAGTACAGAATTCATGTTTAGTATTAAACTTCATTTACAAATGATGAGAACATTCATTAATGATGGGAAAATGATTCATTACACAAACACACCTCTCCCAATCGTCCCCTTTTCTTTTTTTGTTCTTACTTATACACATATATACATAATTACAACCCCTCACACACATACACAGCACAGAATAAAGGTTGTGGTGTCTGCCACTGGGTAGAGTAGGTCCCTAACTGAGCCTCATGATCACATTTTAGCAAAATAATTTTTTTAAATACTAACTTGACTGTGGTAACCCATATTTTCAGTAACCCATATTTTCAGTAACCCATATTTTCAGTAACCCACATTTTCATCCCTTTTAAAGCAGACCTATACTGCCTCACAACATCAATGGCTTCAATTTTTATTAAACGTCCTCTTCTTCTCATTAGCGTTCCCCGGCTGAAATTCCAGCCAAAAAGTTCTGGTAGTTCATCTACTCCTGGACTTTGGTTTTGATCCAGAACATGAGTTTTGTGTGCACATCTGTTTTAGAGATCTGGCTTATATGTATGCAGGATGTTGGTTCCTTGCCTCAGCTAAATGCACTCTCTTATTTTTAAAAAAAAACCTAAGCAGATGCCTCCTATTGCATGCTTGTTAGGGAGCAAAGAAACATGGGGATTATGAAACAAAAAGGGTAACATACCTTTCCCTGATCTTCGAGCAGCAGATCTCAAACGATACTTAGTCACTATTGTCGTCATTACCATAACAGCTGCAGTTCTACCCAGACAAGTGCCTGGTACATATTTTGTGTAACTGGGTAAATTCTAGTGCCACATTTCAACAACAAAAACCCAGCCTGAAGGGAATTTAAACTAAGGACCATTAGGTCAGTAGCTGTTTGCACCAGCAGATTTTAACTCTTTCGTATTAGCTCTTTTTTCTTCATTCTTTCAATCCGGAGAACCAAGGCGGTCATATAACCAGATTATGATCAGTATCATCAGTATTGGAACTCTGCGCTGGCTGCTGAAGATGAGGACGAAACACACATGGGAATGTCCTGAGTGCTGTGATGTCAATTCTTGACTCAACTAAACTCAACTCAGTCCAGAAAAGGCCTAGTTTACAGTAGCCAGATTTTAAGTATAGGGAAACTTACATTAATAACACTATGGGATAAAAGAGGTTTAACAAATAGTTTGCATTGAATGAGTTAATGTAACAAAAATCTACTATAAAAGAGGCTTGGATCTGTTTACATTTGAGAAGTAGCTTAAAAATAATGGTGTCCTGAGTGGTAAAATAAGAGTAAAGTTGTTGCTTATTTTCACTCCCCATTGCTTGTACCACCCATCACCTGTACCACCCACTGCCTGTACTACCCACTGCCTGTACCACCCACTGTCTGTACCACCCACTGCCTGTACTACCCACTGCCTGTACCACCCACTGCCTGTACTACCCACTGCCTGTACCACACATCGCCTGTAACACCCACTGCCTGTACCACCCATTGCCTGTACCACCCATTGCCTGTACCACCCATTGCCTGTACCACCCCACTGCCTGTACTACCCACTGCCTGTACCCCACATTGCCTGTACCACCCATTGCCTGTACCACCCATTGCCTGTACCACCTAAAAAGACATCAAATGAGAGCAAGAGGGTGAGCAAGGCAAAGAAGGCTCAGTGACACCAAATGACAATGTCCATCCATACAGAATGACAATGCCTGTACCAACCATTGCCTCTACCACCCATTGCCTGTACCACCCATTGCCTGTACCACCCATTGCCTGTACCACCCATCACCTGTACCACCCATCGCCTGTACCACCCATTGCCTGTACCACCCATTGCCTGTACCACCCACTGCCTGTACCACCCATCACCTGTACCACCCATTGCCTGTACCACCCACTGCCTGTACTACCCACTGCCTGTACCACCCACTGTCTGTACCACCCACTACCTGTACTACCCACTGCCTGTACCACCCACTGCCTGTACTACCCACTGCCTGTACCACACATCGCCTGTAACACCCACTGCCTGTACCACCCATTGCCTGTACCACCCATTGCCTGTACCACCCATTGCCTGTACCACCCCACTGCCTGTACTACCCACTGCCTGTACCCCACATTGCCTGTACCACCCATTGCCTGTACCACCCATTGCCTGTACCACCTAAAAAGACATCAAATGAGAGCAAGAGGGTGAGCAAGGCAAAGAAGGCTCAGTGACACCAAATGACAATGTCCATCCATACAGAATGACAATGCCTGTACCAACCATTGCCTCTACCACCCATTGCCTGTACCACCCATTGCCTGTACTACCCATCGCCTGTACCACACATCACCTGTACCACCCATCGCCTGTACCACCAATTGCCTGTACCACCCATTGCCTGTACCACCCATTGCCTGTACCACCCATTGCCTGTACCACCCATCACCTGTACCACCCATCGCCTGTACCACCCATCGCCTGTACCACCCATCGCCTGTACCACCCACAGCCTGTACCACCCACTGCCTGTACCACCCACTGCCTGTACCACCCACTGTCTGTACCACCTACTGCCTGTACCACCCACTGCCTGTACCACCCACAGCCTGTACCACCCACAGCCTGTACCACCCACAGTCTGTACCACCCACTGCCTGTACCACCCACTGCCTGTACCACCCACTGCCTGTACCACCCACTGCCTGTACCACCCACTGCCTGTACCACCCACTGCCTGTACCACCCATTGCCTGTACCACCCATTGCCTGTACCACCCACTGCCTGTACCGCCCACAGCCTGTACCACCCACTGCCTGTACCACCCACTGCCTGTACCACCCACTGCCTGTACCACCCATTACCTGTACCACCCATTACCTGTACCACTCATTGCCTCTACCACCAATTGCCTGTACCACCCATTGCCTGTACCACCCATTACCTGTACCACCAATTGCCTGTACCACCCATCGCCTGTACCACACATTGCCTGTACCACCCACTGCCTGTACCACACATTGCCTGTACCACCCACTGTCTGTACCACCCATTGCCTTTACCACCTAAAAAGACATCAAATGAGAGCACGAGGGTGAGCAAGGCAAAGAAGGCTCAGTGACACCAAATGACAATGTCCATCCATACAGAATGACAATGGCCAGCACCAACCACTGAGTGGTGGACTGCAGACTTTTCCTACATGGGAAGCTTAACTGAAAAAGTGGAAGCAGATATAGGTGATAATGATGTACCACCAAGCATGCTACCCTTACCTGCAGATCAGAAGGTCATGGGTTGGAGTAATGACGAAGGCAGGCGGTTTTTTTTTAATATTTTTTTTATACAAAAATGATCTTGGCTCCCAAGTCGACCCAGCCCTGCATGGGTACCAGGTATAGTCCTGGCAAGTAAAGGCGGTCAGCATAAGGTTGATCACATCATCCACCAAGTGCTGATTGGTTTTATACAATATAGGTCCAGCACTATATGCCCAAAATGCCGGGAAAAGGGTGGAAAAGGGACCATCACATTCCTTCACTTACCCAGCAGCATGATTATGACAACGTTAACGTAAAATGTGGCTGAGACAAACGAAGTTAAACAGGAAAGAGTGACTTACCCAGCCCTTGTTGACCCACTCAATGTCAGCATTGTCATTTAGATTCTCATCAGGCCCATAGTCCGCCATAGGCATGCCGTCTTTGAAGCTGGTTTTACGATTGACCAGCATGATGTACTCGTTTCATAAGCTGAAATTTTCCTGTGCTTCCCTCGCCCACATCTGCTGAATTTTCACATGAGTCTAGTTATCCTGATTCTTACAGTTTAGGAAAAATCCACGTATCTGAAATCAGCAAATAAAAATCATGTATTACTATTAATATTGTTTTGGGTTCAAAGATAAACCAGGGTTAAATTTATTTGAATTTATCTTGATTCCCAGGTCAATCCATCAAAAAAAAATAGATACCAGCAGGGTTCTTTTTTTGGTTGAAAAAATGGTGCCAGTATTCACCACAAAACATGTAAAAAGGATGCTATTTATGGTTAGAAATGTAACCAGCAGAATCAGTTGTGAACAAAGCTGTAATCTGGAAAACAGTACTCAAAATAAGACACACTATAGCAGAACACCGGGAAATAAAAAAGCTATCTTTCAACAACCCCTGTGGTGGACACCTGAAGTCGCAGAAGCCATGAAAAGAGAAACGAGGTGCCACCAAAGACTAGAAGAAATGCAGAAAGTCTTCGAATTTTTCTTGTGCTCAGAAACAAGACTTTAAACACAAAATAGACAGACTCACTGAACATTTTAAACAACTCACAAAGGCGTCTAAGCACACAATGTAGGAACATTTTTGCCAAGAAATGGGTTATGAAAAATCTCTCAATAAATTCTGGCAGCTCACCACAAGATGAACCGAGGCAAACAAATCTCTGTTATGCCCAAACTAAGGATGGACAACGGGGTGGTGTTGCAGTCGGATGAAGACAAAGGCGATGCTATCCTGCACAGATTTCTCTTGCAGACGGAAAAGACAAGATAGAGACGAGAGGGAGCAGATGAAACAGAGATTACACGATATCCACATGGCTGAAATGGAGGAAGACGATGATACAGTATACATCTCAACTGATTGCGTCACAGCAACACTGAAGACCTGTCCAGACACAGCTCCAGGGCCTGATAGCATTAGATACAGCGACTTCAAAAGCCTCGAGGTGACAGATATTGATGAACTACCCATGATTTTCAACAACACAATGAAAACTGGCACTATTCCTGATGACTGGCTCCATAGCTACCTCAGACCTGTTCCTAAGACAGGAAAAAACCACACGAGAATAAATGGCTACAGAATCATCACACTCCAGAGCACTATAGGAAAAATAATGAAAACAATCGTGGCCAGAACGTTGACCTAAACATTGGAGTCAGGTGGTCTATTGATGCGTACAACAGCGTCCCATACAACATGCTCATCAGAATGCTGTTGGATATGCACAGAGAAACAAAATTGATCAACTGAATCGCAGCAGCACTATTCGAAAGAACAGTGTCGCTTCGATGTGGTGAATGGGCATCCAGACCTCAACGCATCCCAATGTGTCTGCCCCAGGGACCACCATTGTCACCTGTGCTCTTCAATGTCTACACAGTAGGAGTCACGAGTGCACAAAGCGCTGGCCTAGGCAGAATATTGTTGTATCCTTGTGTACCGTCTAGGTAAAAACGGCACAAAATTACAACCACGCTACAACTATGCAGATGATATCCTTGTGTACCGTTGAGGTAAAAACAGGCACAAAATTACAACCACGCTACAACACGAACTAGACAGACTTAGTGAGTGGTGCCAGGAATCAAGAGCTCAAGTGAACCGGTCCAAAGCCTCCTTAACATGGTTTTCTCTGAATACTCACATCGTCAGTACACCAACGCCATTCGTAAGCATGTGTGGTGTGGACATCGAGAGAACGGACACCATGAAATACCTGGTCATAACATTTGACAGATGCTTGTTATACAATACCACGTAGACGTTATACTTAGAGCCAGGAAAGGTCTGACAGCACTCAGGGTGCTAGCAGCAGCTGATATTGAACAACGCCTACTTTTCCTTCTCTATCCAGGGCTTGTATTAACCGTCATTGACTATGGTCTTGGCCTTCTCACTGTCAGCAAAACCCAGCTAGAAAGACTGGACGAGTACAAAATGAGGCTAAGAGACTCATACTCACCTGCACAAAAGACACCTCCTGCAACACCATGCTTTTGTCCTGGGTTTGCCGACGATGACTAGCAAATACAAAGTCGCACAAGTCAAGGCGTACATGAGGGTATCGGCAGACGTTAACCACTCAGTGCACAAAGCTAAACACGACACAGAAGAAACTCATTTTAAAAGAGGCCACTCCTAGATGGCAAAGGGGGAGGATTTAATCCAGCAGGTATGTGACCTAGACGTGACAGTCATGGAAAATAATGGACGAATACACCAGCTGACATGCATGGCATCTCTAAGGTTTTCATCACACTCTGAAGATACTGCAGGGATCAAATTCATGTGGCCATAGACACAGAGGTAAGGGAACTGATAGATCAGCATTCAGACCCAGAAGATATCATCATCTACACAAATGGATCCGTGAAGCGCGAATCACACAGCGCAAAGAATGGGAAAAACAATACAGGAGGACAGCGGCACGTACCAGACAACCAGGTCAAGCATGACATGCAGGCGCAAAGGGAAATGAGCGAGCAAACAAACTGGCATGTGGGAAAAAGCTTGGACAGAGCAGATATCATCAGCGCTGTACGGACTGGACAAGTGGACAAAGAAAAATCCCAGACACTAACACGATTGAGTGACATGGGAGTAAAGCATTGTGAAGCACGTCTATTCCATCTTCAAGGCCGAGATAGGAAACAATATAACCAGCTTCTCATGGGAACAATTAGTAAAAGTACTTTGGAGTGACTGAGCACACATGGGAATGCATAATGTGCAGTGACGTTGATTGTGATAACATAACACTATAGCAGTAAATGTTGCATTAACGCCACCAGGCAGTGGTTAAAAGAATAGGAATAGTCATATTTTCAAAAAATAAAAGTCATTAAAAATGCAATACACACACACACACACACACATGTGTGCGTGTGTGTGTGTGTATTCACATACAGCTCCAAGCAAACAAGTGTAACTATAACAAGTCATGTTACAAATATGGAAATGGTTGGGTTAGGAAGGGTCATCAGATTTTAATTTATGAGCACAATCTTCTTCTTCTTCACGTTCACCAGCTGTAAACTCTGGCGGAAGGTTCTGGTTGCTCGTCCACTACTGAACTGCAGTCCTGCTCCAGAACCTGAGTGTTGCGTGTGCATCAGTTTTACAGATTTCATTCTCTTGAATACAGACTGTTGGTTCCTTGCCTCTCCGGCAGATGCACTCCGACTTCAAAGGAAGCTTCCCAATTAGTCGACTCTTACGACATGCTTTTGGGGAGGCAGTGGGTCTATTCTTGTTTTCCCCACAATGGGGCCCCGGAACCCACACGGGGGATGAGCACAATGAAATGCTCAGTTAATAGTTGTTGATAACTGACACCTGCAGAAAGTAACAAGATGATCTCAGAAATCCTAACAAAATAATAGTTCCAAGTCAGTGTGATGAGGTTAACAACAACAATTAAAAAAAATGAGAAGTAAAGAACTGGTGGAAAGTTAGCAGACCAGCAGAATAGTTAATAACTTAATAAATCGTGCTTTGTTTCTTGACGTTTCTTGCTCATGAAGACTAATCGCCACAACGTCTTCTATTTGTTTAATGGAAGTGGTTTTATAAAGAAGACATACGTTTTGTTTTTTTCTTACTTGTTTTGATATTTTCTCTCCAATTATCTTTTGCAATTTTTTTCAAGTTGTTTGACTGACTAGACGTCATTTAAGCAAATGAGAAAAGATTAGATTTGCCCGAAGCAAACATTTACAGAATTAGGAAACTGCAACCGAACTAGGCTGCTTCTACTTCTAGTTTAAGATTAGTTAAATAGTTTACTTATTCAATAAAAAGGTAATATTTATTTCCTTACAAAAAGTAATTAAATTTAAATTACAAACCATGAAGAAGCGAGCTTGCATTTTGTGAAAGTGTCGTGTCTCAACAGTAATCACTGGAATCCACTATGACTTAAAAAAGCACATAATTAATTAAAATGATTTAATATCCTCATAGATTTTTTTAAGTGATGAATCATATCCCAGAGGGTAGACTCCACTCAGTAATATATGTGTGATGTCTACCTCCGTGCACACTGAGTGCTCACCCACAGACCAAAGCTGTATTTAAATTTACACATTTTACAACTTATAAATAATTGTATTTTAATTTCAAATACAATATATTTTTCTTTTTTTAATTTATTTGTTGTACTATTTTTTATGAATATAAATCATTTGAATCATCTGATTATATATCATGATCAAATAATAGTGTACGTGTGTCGACAGCCAAACAGGCAATGTGTAGGATCGACGGGTGGATTTTGCAACTAGGTCACCAACCTGAACCCAGTCTTGCAAAACAATCTTCTTCTTCTTAATTTTACCTCTTCCTCTGCTTCTTCTCCACCTTCTTCCCCATCTCCTTCTTTTTCTTAGCCATTAAATGGTGGTTATAACTTTGTGTTCTGGATTACAGCGGGGCTGAGATATCAGTGCCTTTCGGCACAATAAATTCGATGTTAGCAAACCCTTAATTCGCCGCTGTTAATAAAATGCTTGTTACAGGGCAGTGGGATTCTTTTACTCCCTCAAAATGGGCCCCCGGACAACAAAAAGATAGCTGAATACTTGACAGTTAAGGTTTCTTTTCTCTTTCTCAGTCACTAAATTAAGCTTTAATTGATTCACTTTCAAGACACTGAGATATTTTCTTGATTACCTTTCTTCGCGCCCACCGGCTGCAACATTTGTTGGGGGAGTTCTGGTTGTTCATCCATTTCTGGACTGTTTCCTTCCAGTAATTGAGTTTTGCGTGCAGATCAGTTTTACAGAACTGACTTATTTGTATACGGACGTTTAGCTTCTCACCTCTCTGGCATATGCATTCAGACTTCTAAGAAAAAGACGATACTATCTTCGTCGATTAGGTAGTAGGTAAGTTGTACCCCACCAGGACATCATATAAGCGATAAACAGTCGGTAACACAAAGTGCCACCAT